GCGCAACACCAGCGTTACCGACACATAGTATGTATGTCATAGAAAAAGACTATATATGTACGTGACAAACACACATTAACTATGTGCATAACAAATGCACGTTATGCGTCACAAACATACATATATACGAACAGATATATATTTGCGTAACCAACACACGTTATATACGTTTGTCACAAACACTTGTTATATATTTGCGTCACATACATGTGATGTGTGTTTGTGTCACAAGCACATATGGTCTATATATGCGTTACAAACAGATTATCTATGTGCGCAAGCGATAAATAAATAAATAAACAAATTAATTAATAGTGTTTAAGAAGAAATTGTACATGATTAAAGAGGTAAAAGATACATTGCAAAAGAATTTCATAGAATTTCATTTTTACACTGATAAAATATGTTTATAACGTTTTGGTATTGAAATCAATTTGTATAGTATAACAGTGATGGAAAAAAGCCAAACGGTTTGTTGTGGTTAATTTATATTTTACGACAGTGGAAGGTGAAGTGACGTGTGCTGTTGGTCATCTTATAAATTATCTGTAATAAACGGACGATATGGCCAGAATAACTTATCACCGCGAATGAATATATGACCACTAAAAGAAAAAAGAAATGACGTAAATTGTATCACGGTATTTTAATGTTGCAATTAAGTCCCAATAAGCAGAAGATAAAAAACACTGCACACTGACGCTTGCAAATGTTGATTAATAACATATCAAGAATTAATTCGGTTAAAAGTTCGAATTTGGTCAAGAGTGTGTTATTGATAAATAAATAGCAATAGAAATGTTCTCTTATTTACCATGCACTGCTTATTTTAAGTTCGCAACGGTAAATGATCTACTTATTCTGTAGATTTATCTGTACGATTGTCTGACTTAATTAGTCATTTTTTTTTAAAATTTCCTATCGTATCGTATCGTATCCTGTCCTGTCCTGTTATCTCCTGTCCTGTCTTGTCCTGTTCTCACCTGTCTTGTCCTGTCCTCTGTCCTGTCCTGTCTTGTCCTGTCTTGTCTTGTCTTGTCTTGTCTTGTCTTGTCTTGTCCTGTCCTGTCCTGTCCTGTCCTGTCCTGTCCTGTCCTGTCCTGTCCTGTCCTGTCCTGTCTTGTCCTGTTCTCACCTGTCTTGTCCTGTCCTCTGTCCTGTCCTGTCCTGTCCTGTCCTGTGCTCTGTCCTGGTCCCGTTTCGTCCCGTCCTAACCTATCCCGTCCGTTCCGTGATATCCTGTCCTGTAAATGTTGCCTGTCCTATTCTGTCCAGTCTTACCTGTTCTGTTCTGTTCTATTATATGAATATGACAGCAAATAGCGTTAGATGAACAGTTGACAAGTTTAAAACATCTGGATTTGTTTTCATCTTTTTAGTTTTATACGGATTTTTTTTTATAAATAAGTTTTATATCATATAATACAATAGCTTGCAAGTAAAAATCTGTATTATTGTCCTTCACAAATCAGATTTTACAGTGTATGCCATGCATCACCGTGACATAGTTTCACTACGTAATTACATGTTTATAATATGTGTTTTGTAAATAATACAAACTGTGTGTTATTGTATGTAAGTTGGATTTAATATTGTCAATGAAATTAGTCTTATTTAGTGATAGTACGTAGTATGTGACTGGAATTTGTATTAATCATTTGATATGAGCCGCGTCACGACAAAACCAACATAGTGCGTTTGCGACCAGCATGGATCCAGACCAGCCTGCGCATCCGCGCAGTCTGATCAGGATCCATGCTGTTCGCTTGCCAACTCTATTACAAGTAGAGAAACTGATAGCGAACAGCGAACTGCGGATGCGCAGGCTGGTCTGGATCCATGCTGATCGCAAACCTATTATGTTGGTTTTGTCGTGACGCGGCTCATATATTACACAATCACTTACCGCCATCGTCATCATAAAAAGGAAGAAAAAAAGAAAAGCAAAACAACATTAATAACGTTATTAACTTTTTTTGCGAACCGGATTTCAGTTTTATTATCGGATCAAAATTATCATTAATTTTTTTGTAATCAATGGCGTCGGTAAATTATGACTTTGCTTAATATTACTTATATTTTGTATTTTGCATAGGCATCTTAATTCATTTTTCGTATGCGAATTTTGAACAAATTGAAAACATCTTTTCTTTTATGCTCAAGAACGCATATGATTTCAATGTGATTTTCGCACATGTATAAATATTTCTTTAAATTTAGGATGATATTTTAAGTACCGCTTTTACTTCTTTAAAGATCCTGTATCACAATATTTTTACGGTTTTATACAATAAATATGATGCTCAAATTCAGATTGATCAATATTGTAAGTTCCAAAAAGCATTATTTATAAAGATATTACCGAATTTAACATTTCATGTTAATAAAGGGAGGTAAATTAGTAATTCGTTTTGTCAAATATTTCAAAAAGAAATGAATGCATATACATTGTATTTTAATGATAACATATATTTGCAGTAAATATTTTACATATTCTTCGATGGTTGAAAATTGTTTTATAAGCATAAATATATAGAAACATAAATGAGCGGCGTCACGACAAAACCAACATAATTGGTTTGCGACCAGCATGGATCCAGACCAGCCTGTGCATCCGCGCAGTCTGATCAGGATCCATGCTGTTCGCTATCATTTTCTCTACTTGTTATAGCGGCTCAAATAATGTATTCATTTCAAATTACGATAGCCCGGTGATAAAATCAAACATTTCGAATTTATATTACTTGATTATCATTATTGTTTGACCATATCAGTTGAATAAATATACATGTATGTGTAAAGAAACGCGCATCTCAAGCCAAGCTAAAATTAAAGAAAAATTAGTAAGCGTTTTGAAGTATAAAGTGAATAAATATTATAATTTAATGTTAAATGAGCCGCGTAACGACAAAACCAAAATAATGCGCAGTCTGATCAGGATCCATGCTGTTCGCTTACCAACCCTATTACAAGTAGAGAAACTGATAGCGAACAGCATGAATCCTGATCAGACTGCGCAGATGCGCAGGCTGGTCTGGATCCATGCTGGCCGCAAACCCATTATGTTGGTTTTTTCCTGACGCGGCTCGAATATGCTCTTAAAATATTGCTCATTTTACAGTTGGTAAATGCATTTCCTTGCATGTGATCGAAAAACTGATATAAGCTTGCAATAAATGATTCAGTGACCGGAAGTAAAAAGGTGTTTTATTTCTAATGTCGGCATATATTTTAATCACGCATAATTAATGTGATATACTACATGTACAATTTTATAAGAACTGTTAGTCATTATTCGTCTATTTTATTATGTGACATTTTGGCCGGACAAGCCATATTATAACTGCATACTATGTATAGATATTAGTCAAACGTTTTCTTACCTATGTGAATATTTGACTTTATGGCTCTTGTTGTTACCAATGTGAATATTTGGTCAATCATGCCTTATTTAAACTATGTTAATACATGTATTTGATTTTATAGGTCTTTTTTGTTAACTGTGTGAATGATATCAATATTTTGGTCAAACCAGTCTTATTTATGTAAATTTTTGGTCATATGCATAATGTTATAACTACTGGAAAATACGTTTATACATAGTTATAACTACATGTATGTGAATATATACATGTAGTCATGCTATTAGAATTTAACCGTAGGAGTATTCTGACGGAGTTGTGGTCAATATCAAACCATAATTACATGTCATTAATGTCAATAAACAATAAATAAATTGTCAGGATGACCACAGCCGCAATAATTGTCCTATACTATTAGTAAGACATAAAACACAGATCTGGGAAATATCGGAAAAACAAAACAAAAAACAATAAAAAACCCAATAACAAAAGAAGCATGCATTTTACAGCTGATTTTCGTGTTGCAGTTTTTTGTCCCAGTCGTAAACTTCTTAGTGCTATTGCATGATTACCTAACGATATTTTCTGTCCTTAGAGTGAAACTTTACATCTGGTATTTGTTCCATTTTAAGAGAAACTAATTTTGATAATCTAATGTATCGAATCGTATATTAAGTGGCAAAAGAAAATGAATGGTAACGAGTGGTAGCAAGAACCAAGAATGCACAATGTATAAATAAACTAGAAATTTCTTCACGTTTGCAAAGTCTTTGGTTGTTGCTGTGAGATTATCTATATATGTACATTATAGTTGTAATCTAGAAATTTCTTCATATGAGCCGCGTCACGACAGAACTAACATAGTGCGTTTGCGACCAGCATGGATTCAGACCAGCCTGCGCATCCGCGCAGTCTGATCAGGATCCATGTTGTTCGCTTACCAAACCTATTACAAGTAGAGAAACTGAAAGCGAACAGCATGGATCCTGAACAGACTGCGCGGATGCGCTGGCTGGTCTGGATCCATGCTGGTCGCAAACGCACTATGTTGGTTTTGTCGTGACGCGGCTCATATGTAGAAAGAGTTTTGCTAAGAGCGATCAAATTTAATGTTAAGTCTTACCTTGGGAAGAATTACTTCTGTTGTTATAAAGATGTTATTGTACTGCAGACGGTCGTTTTGCAGAGGTTGCTCCGTAGATTGACATAAATTTACTCACATTTCTTTTACAATTTAAGATTTTAAATATTTTCAATATGTTGATTTTAGTAAGGAATTACAATCAGAACGATATATTTAAGTCTTACGTTTTTCAATAAAACAGGAATTATCCAAAACATACCCAAGTGAATGTAACACAGCAAATTGATATTGATTTGAGAATTCTCGTATACACTTTACAAAAAATGTTTTTTCTTTGATATATCAAATTTGAAAGAACAATTAAATTTTCAAAGAAAACCACGAGGGAATTTATTGATCCATCTTTAGTCTCTATAAGGAAATATTACAGTCTGAATATTCTTACTTTCTATTGAAATATACCAAAGAATATTGATGCATATATGTAATCCAAAGATTAATTTGTTGACATATACAAACAAAAATATATGTCTAACTTATTCGACTTTACTTTGACAGAAATTCACCCATTTATCAGGAGATAAAAGAATAAAACAAAATGAAATGCGAGGAGATTTTAGTGGCGGTGGTGTTATTGTGTATTGTTGACCGACTCGATGCTGACCATCCAAAAGACAAACTGGCCAAAGATCCAAAAATGCCGAGAGGTAAATATATAGACGCAGTGCTCCATGCTTTTTAAAACAACCTTCTTATATCTAAATTAATAATTGTTATTAATCTAAAATTAAAGTGATATTTACGGCACTATTTTTGTCTAACATTCTTTTTAAAATCTTTTACAGTTGTTAATAAAAAATTAAAAAATATTTGCATCGATCTATGTTCCCACAAGGTGTAACGATATTAAAGGTTTTGCATTTTTATAATGACAACTTTTAAACGTCATATTTACAAATAACATGCGACATCCGGGTTTTTATCTAGGTCTATTGATCCTTGGTGCTTACCAATGTATCATATGAGCCACGTCACGACAAAACCAACATAACGGGTTTGCGACCAGCGTGGATTCACACCAGTCGGTGCTATCGCACAGTCTGATCAGGACCAATGCTGTTCGCTATCAGTGTCTTTACTTGTTATAGGGTCTGTAAGCGATCAACATGGATCCTGATCAGACTGCGCGGATGCGCAGGCTGGTCTGGATACATGCTGGCTGCAAACACATTATGTTGGTTTTGTCGTGACTTGGCTCATATGATTTTTTTCATTATTTTATCTTGAAATAACAAATTTGTTTTTCCAGGAAAATAAAGGAAAGAGGGCAATTCATTTTGTTTTACTTTTGATTTTGTTTTCTATGACAAGATTGAATGTTTTTGTTATTTTCAAATTGCTTTACGTGCCAGACAAAATTGCCGGCGTTTATTTGACATTTGCATGCTTGATATTAAAGACAGACGCATTTATATCCGAATAAAGGCGTTAGTCGAAATATTGAAAGATTTATGATTGTTACGCATGTGATTTCGAAAATGTTACATGTTAAACTAATTTCAAATAACATTGAATGCATCGATCATAAGTTACCATTTTACATTGACTTATATCACACGATCTAAAGCAAGAAATATTGGCGGCGTTGCCTAGTGGTTAACGCGTCGGGCTAGTAATCTTAGGATTGTTGACCGCTTGGGTTCAAACCCTGTTAAGGGCAAACCGATGTTTCCTTGAGCAAGAAACTTTAAATTCATTGTTAAGAACTGGTTTGTTCTAGGAACGGATTCGAGAGTATTTCAATAAGCTTATAGCTTCCTACAAAATCGAACTAAAATAAATTCGTACAAACTAAACCATCAGCAAAATCGTCGTTTGTTAAACTTGCTTTCGTATAGAAAAAATACAGAATAGTTATATTAAATGGAAAACAAAATATGTTCTTCCTGGTTTTAGAACTTCTAAAAAGAAGGTTTGAAAAAAGAAGTAAAAACAAAATAAACATATATCCTCAATCCTTATTGGACAATTCACTTAAACATAAAATACCAAAGTATGATATCTTCTTTTCTTATGTTTCAGTTGGTTGTACAAAATTCATGTTTGAGGGAAAAGGTGACTTTCGAGTACAGAAGAAGATCTACCAAGCTCAGAATTCTAAACATTATATTGAATCATTACGCCTGATAAAGAGGACTTCATTCTACAAATGTGAACCTAAGGCTGAGAAGTATGGTAGGTGTCTTCTTTAAAGAGTTGCTTTATAGAACAGTATGGTAGGTGTTTCTTTATTGAACAGTATGGTAGGTTTTTCTTTATAGAATATGAAAAATATAAACTAAAGTTCATATCTATAGCGTTGTTTCGGAGCTGATTTATTTCATCGTCCTCTCATATCATCATACTTTGTCGTGCCATACCTTTATATCATGTCATGTGACGTGAGGTATGGTCTTATTTTATCATGGCATGTGACGTGAGGTATGGTCTTATTATATTATGCCATGTCACGTGAGCTATGGTCTTATTATATAATGTCATGTCACGTGAGGTATGGTCTTATTTTATCATGGCATGTCACGTGAGCTATGGTCTTATTATATTATGCCATGTCACGTGAGCTATGGTCTTATTATATCACGTGCCTTTTGACGTGGTCTTATTATATTCTGTCATGTAACGTGAGGTATGGTCTTATCAAATCATGTCATGTCACATGAGGTATGGTCTTATCAAATCATGTCATGTCACATGAGGTATGGTCTTATTATATCATGTCATGTCACGTGAGGTATGTTTTTATTATATTATTATGCCATGTCACGTGAGCTATGGTCTTATTATATCACGTGCCTTTTGACGTGGTCTTATTATATTCTGTCATGTCACGTGAGGTATGGTCTTTTCAAATCATGTCATGTCACATCAGGTATGGTCTTATTATATCATGTCATGTCACGTGAGGTATGGTTTTATTATATTATTATGCCATGTCACGTAAGGTAAGGTCTTTTTATATCACGTCACTTGTGACATGGTCTTATCATATTCTGTTATGTCACATGAGGTATGCTCTTATCATATAAAGGTATGGTCAGATTAGGGTATTATAGCACATGTCATTTTGAATTAAGGATATCCTGTATCATTAAATGTCATATCATTTTCTATGACATCGTATCATGTTTCATATCATAATGCATATCTTAAAAGCATAGTATATCATTATATCACACCATATTATATCATATCTCGTATCATTTCAGGTATTTCAGAGGATGGTCATTCATGGTGGGTAGACAAAGGGTGTGAAGCTATATTTGAAGTGATTGAGTGTCCAAATAATGGAAAAGTCCCTCCCCCAGGTAACCTTCCTTTATAACATCCCACAGCCAAGTCATTTGTAATTGGTCCTAAATAGTCACACAGTGACCATTCACTTATCACAGTTGTTACAGAAGATTACTATTTGCCCAATCAAATTGGCCTCAATGAAATTTTTGTTTATTGTCAATAGTTAATTAGTATTCAAAAAGTTTAACAGTAGAAAATAAAAGAAAAAATTCAACGGTTAATTATATGCTTCCTTTTGCTTATTCTATAAACCATATATCCTTATATGCTTCCTTCTGTTTACTATAAACCATATATTCTTATAGTATTATATGCTTCATTTTACCTTACTATAAACCATATATTCTTATAGTATTATATGCTTCCTTTTGCCTTACTATAAACCATATATTGTTATAGTATTATATGCTTCCTTTTGCTTTACTATAAACCATATATTCTTGTTGTATGATAGGCTTCCTTTTACCATATTATAAACCATATATTCTCAGAATAGTATATGTTTTCTTTGCCTTCTTATAAACCATATATTTTTATAGTATTAAATGCTTCCTTTTGCCTTACTATAAACCATATATATTCTTATAATATTAAATGCTTCCTTTTGCCTTATTATAAACCATATATTCTTATAGTATTATATGCTTCTTTTTACCTTACTATAAACCATATATTCATATAGTATTATAATTGTTTAATTTATTCTAGATACATGGAGCAAGATCTATGAAGAGTTACGACGACGACTCAAAGCGGCCACACAGAACGTAGACTTGACAAATTTCAACCTGAACAGCGTTTTTAACAGGTTCGAGTATCGACCTGAACCGATCGTTCGTGGAAACTGATTGGATTGTCTTGACATGCAGATATTTTTGTACATATTGTCCGTATTGGCTCTCATTTCAAACTTGTGTTTGTTATCCGGGATAAAACTCACACAGTTCAAATATACATACATGTAATTCATATAATTGGCCATCGTGTTCATTTTTGCACGTTCGAGCGTTTACTTGTTTCATGAATCCAATATTAAATGCTGAAACATCAATAATAAACGAATGCTTTATGTTTAAAATCTTGGTTATGATTGATATTGTGCATAAACAAGTGCTACAACTGGGGTTGGAATTAGAAATCATAATATGATTTATAAATAAAAGAGAAACGACAGATGGTCTGCTGTTTCTTCTCTTTACTGATGTGTTCTAAAAATGTTGTTGTGCAAAGTCATAGTGATTATGAAATAAATGATTTTCAGTAAAACCAGAGACAAATCAAAGGATTGCAAGTTTGTTTCATTCCCTGCCATACCATTACTCCAACAAAGGCGCTGTCTTCTATTTAGAGTCATATGAATGGATTTCCCGGGGACAGGGGTGACGGGGGCTATAAACAAACGCCATGTCATGCGTCCTGCAGATTATTTCACACTGTTTTAAAGAGTCGAACATAAACGAAACCACAAAGTACGCCCACTTTCCCCGTTTACTCATGTGCATGAAAATAGCCGAATCTATTTAACTACATATTTAACCGCTAACGATTGAATTGTTTGTTTATAATAAATGTTTGTCCAAATATTTTAGATAATAAATTTCGATTCTTCTTTTCGGATCGTTATTTCCAAAGGTGTTGCAAATCTGTGGATTCGGGTTATTCGTATCATCAAAACGTTGTCATTAAAATTTTGATTGGAATAAACTTCAATTACTTAAATGTTTTGCTTTTTTATATTTATGTGACCAAACTATTTATAATTATTTAAAACTTTTTGTTGTTTATTCAGATTTTAAAATTACATTGCAGGCTTAATGAGCTTATATTTTAATCGAAATTTTTTCCTTGCCAAACTCTTTACTGACATGTAGAAAACTTGAATTTGCATAAAATATCGTAATAATAGTTAACATAATGTAAGAAAAAAGTTACACGGTTTTGTTTCTGTCGAATTTAGAAAGGCTTATTTTTTTACACATTTTGACCGTTGTAATTTGTTTAGGACGGGATGTAATATTTTATAAAACATTGGTTATCAAATTAAAAAAAAAAACAAAAAAAAAAAACACTAATAAAAAAGGGGATTGTACAAAAATGTGTGGTAACAAAATTACCATCCAGATGCCGTGAAAATGGTTTCTTACTAAAATTGCCTGTCATAGTCAACATTCAACATACATTCAGGTAACGTCCTATAGTATAAGTTCCGTCCATTTTTTGTAAGTCCTTAAAACATTAAAACATAGATCATGTTAAAATAAAATTGGAACATTGCCAAACCTTCTCATTAAAGCATTAAGGCAATGGCGAGCTTGATCAAATTTTATATGTATAACACCAAAAGTTCGAAACGTTTTAAATAGTGTTTAGATAAATAATCAAAGTATCTTACTAACCTTCTATCACAAAATAAATACCCACAAATAGTAGTAGCAAACCAAACATATTCGTTTTACAAATGACTAAGTCTTATAATGATTCGTAAAGTTTTCATCTTTTTGTCGTCTTGAAGAATTTCCAAAAGGTCTGCAAACCTATATATTCCTGCAGAGGTTATAGTAGATTAAAATCAATTATCATATATTGTCGCGATAAAGGTACGGCAACATTTATTTGTTGATGTCGTGTTAGAATCGAAATAATATATCCCAAACAGTGATTTTATCGCTTGATAAAATCACTGTTTGTCGTCCGGATGCGCATCATTACATCACTCGGGCTACGCCCTCGTGATATAATTCCTCGCATCCGAACTCCAAACAGTGATGTTCTTGAGCGATAAAATCACTGTTTGGGATATATTATTTCTTAAATAACACACACATACGGTTCTTTTTTATTCAATAGTGAAAAATGCGGGTCGTGTTAGAATAATAATTTTGATATATGGATCAATATATAACACTCTTCATTTTATTATATTTCTTACATTTCTTATAATGCTTTTCCTGATTTTTGTCGTTTTTCCAAACTTAAGACAACTGTTTATCAACCTGTGTACATAAAAAATCTATTTCATGCATTTGTAACTATTTGAAACAAAACTGGTCAAATAAGAAAAGGATACATAAAACACTCAAATGTAATGAGTACCTAACTATGATACGAGCATCTTAATGCACGAATGAAGTTCTGCCTACTGTGCTATCAAGGCACATGAAAATATAACGTTTAAGATCTATTTTGTTTTTCATTTATAAAGCTTCAGTCTGCTTTACCTAAATTTTCGCATTGTTATCAATTTTTACACATAGGCTCAAGTACTTCGGCCAAAATGCCCCCAGGATAATATTTGAAAACAACGTGTGAAACATATCTCCAATATCTAATGCATACGAGTATATAACGTTTTTGAAACGTTCATGTTTTGCAAAATTAAAACAATTATGTTATATACATAAAATGAAAAGTAGAAAAAAACTTTAAACTCAAAATTTTCCAAAAAATAAATATGATTATCTTAAAATCTCATAGTGATCTTAAAATGACGTTAACTAATAACTAATTGGTATGCGTAACTATTGTTGTATATAAACCAGTTCAAGGCATATCTGTGAAAATTAGCCTCCTTATCAATAACATAAGGCAATGGCATATTTTTTAAGTCTGCCCTTTAATAAAAGGGCGGACAACTCTTTGTCCCTTTCTCGTAAGAGAAGGGGAATCTTGTGATGCGTGTATGTGGTCGCACGGTCACTTTCTTTCAAACATGTCCTCGATGCATGTATGTGGTCGCATGGTCGAAAATCTCTAATATAATGACAACGTTAACAAAAATCTTAAATACGAGAATTAAAATCTTATCTAAGAGCAGCTTCATAAGTCTAAATACAGACTAAAAAGTTTTTAAAAACTTCTTACAAGCAAAGTTCTTGAACCCTTTCACCATTTGCAATGTTATCAACAGGAGTCACTCTTAGTAACTCTATTTGTAGTGCAAAGTAACCTCCTGTTTGGATCCCTGACACCATAAGCAATGCATTCAGGGGAGGTCATTCTAACTGATTCTTTTTTAAACGCAACAGTAACCTCCATTTTGAATTCTTACGTCATTTGTAATGTTTTGAGGGGAGATCACTCTAATCGACTCTTTGTAAGCGCAACAATAACCTCCCTTTGAACCTTAACGGCCTTTGCAATGTTATCAGGGGAGGCCATTCAAATCAACTTTTTTTGAGTGCAACAGTTTGCTCCCTTTGAACACTTACGCCATTTGCAATGTTATCAAGGGAGGTCATTCTAACCGACTCCTTTTAACGCAACAGTTACCTCCTTTTTTTGAACCCCTACGCCATTTGCAATGTTAACAGGGGACGTCACTCTAATCGACTCTTTTTTAGTGCAACAGTTACTACCCTTTGAACCCTTACGTCATTTGCAATGTAAACGGGGGACGTCACTCTAATCGACTCTTTTTTAGTGCAGCAGTTACCTCCCATTGAACCCTCACGCCAATTGCAATGTTAGCACGGGACCTCACTGTAATCGACTCTTTTTTTAGTGCAACAGTTACCTCCCTTTGAGCCTTCACGCCACTTGCAATATATACAGGGACATAACTCTAATCAACTCTTTTTGAGCGCAACAGTTACCTCCCTTTGTTACATTCACAATAAAAGAAATAAAAGAATAATATGACGGTAAAATTGAACTGTGACGAAAAAATTGAGTACGAAATAAATTGTTTTGTTTGCAGTTCTTAATTACTTCTTCATTACGTTCAAAGAATTTTCTTCATATCTAATATGAAAAAGACAAAGCCTCAAAGCGGGCTCGATGTACTTTTAACGTGAAATAGTATGAAATAATCGCTCATTTTTATTTTACATTTTCCGTTTTAAAATTGTCATTCGGTATTTTATACACTGCTTCCGTTTATTCTGGTTCCCTGTCCTATTAAATGAATAAAATTAATATATTTTATCATTTATGCTACGTGAATTACCTTAATTTACAGAAAGAAAGAAGGAATCGGCTCGTCTGTTGGACGAGTGCATGTGACGTCACACGTACTGTGTTAAATATGGCTCCGCCCCTCTATTTTTTTTCTGTTTTTTTTTTCTTATTAGTGTTTTGTTTGTTGAAAAAAGAGGAGGTAAATATACATGAAATGAAATCAAGCGAAACCTATGTACTGTCATTCGATATTTTATTCACAGCTTCCGTTATTCTGGTTTCCTGTCCAATTATGGTTCCCACAGAAGTGCGCGGGTGACCAGTCTACACATCCGTTTTCAGTCAGAATTCCTCAGTTTTTATCGTTATCTTTAAATTCCAAAAGTTGCGATGTGTCATATATCAGTACTTCGGAACCATCACTTAGCAGGTACTCGCGTTACCGTAAAGCTCGCCTTGCGAGGGCCTGCTCTTCGAGCTCGCTATTAAAATACTTTGTATTTGCCAAAATATCACATGATTTTAACATTGCAAAAATTAAACGTATAATAGGCTCACCATCATAATTTTTTTATGATTCTTTTTCCATGTTTTCTTAGATATGATATGCAAATAAACCACCGAGTATCTTTTTTTAAAGATACTTCTTGTTTCACCTTGATGGGCTATTTGCCATCATCATCCCGGTATTTGTCGGAAAGTAATTAACCTGTATAGGCATTTCTGTTTGCTTTTGTTTCTTTATTAGTTTCATTTTATGGATATTTAACGGTTTAACATTGTTTACAATGACCGGGTGTATTTTTAGATATTCTTTTTTTTTGTTTTTCTAATTTCTGTACATTTCAAAGTTTGGTATTTAGTTACCATTTAAAACAGCTAGAATATTGCTCATTTAACCGCCGCCAAGATGTTTTCACATAAAGAATATCACCACAACGAAAGTGATTGCATACAACAAAATGCGAGTAGCTTTTAAACTGTAATTCTGAAAAGTTGTTTTATAGATTTTTGCTGTGAAAAAATTAAAATATTCATATCAGTTACAGTTTAAACATGGCAACGCAATATACCCGATGGTATTAAAATTGAGCCGCGCCACGACAAAGCCAACACATTGGGTTTGCGACCAGCATGGATCCAGACCAGCATGCGCATCCGCGCAGTCTGATCAGGATCCATGCTGTTCGCTTACCAACTCTATTGCAAGTGGAGAAACTGACAGCATGAATCCTGATCAGACTGCCTGGATGCACAGGCTGGTCTGGATCCATGCTGGTCGCAAACGCACTATGTTGGTTTTATTTTGTGACACAGCTCAAATAATGAAAACATGATAGATAATTGTTGATTGGAATCGCTCTAACTTTAAGAAGGATTTGTTCGTATATTTTAGCAGCAAAACGGTAATCAACGATAATCTTTACAATAATATCACGTTTCAACGAAAATGAAATGAATGTTTTACAGCTACATACACTATAAATGTGAAAAATGAAAATCCCCCGAAAGTTAATGGAACAAAAAACAAATATTTGAAAATCTTCGACACGATATGACCGGGTCTGCTCATGAGAGTCGGTGAATAAAACAACACCACTACGCCCTCTCGTGCAGGCTTACGTGGTATTCATTTCTCAACTCCGAAAACTTTGGGGAAAAATGACATCGAAGGAAACAAGTAAAATCAGGAAATCTACACAAACAACAAATAATGGAGACTTTATCATATTGTCTTGTTTTTTGACAATTCGACCCCATAGCACGCAATCGGAAAGCACGACAATTTAATTGCAAACATATTGTACTCTTCTGTATCATTGCATCTTCTCTTTCTTGTCTGGTCTTTGAGTTTTCGCTTCATTGTGGCAAAATATCGGAAACGCACCCCTACTCACCCCACCCCCTTATAAAGAAAACAGGAAGAAAATATTTTTGACCTTTTTCATTTTCATTGTACAACATATAAAATCGTACTCTTTGTGTCTGTGTGGAGGGATGAAAGTTAAAAACCAAAACAAAACACGAAAACACGCAAAACTATGACTTTCGTCTGGCGAGGAGGTGACAATTTGACTAATTTGAAACAATCAGACTGACAAAAACCTTTTTTTTTAATTTTACGAAAGCTTAATCTGCTGATTTTTTTTATATAATGGATTTGACCAGCTTTGAATTTGATTTGTACAGTTCATTTCAGGTCTAGGGGATATTAATACCAAAATATAGAAGTTGAGTTAGCCTGGTTAAACTGCAATGATATTCAGGCTGACCTTGATTTGTACTGGTAGCAAAGGCTCGACAGTTTCAGTTTCAGAAGGTAACGTGTTAAAAAAACCTGCTATATTCCTTTTCACACATTTGTATATATAACCTAAGCCTATCTTTGTGAACAAATATGATATAGGTACAGGGTGTCTAGAACGAAATTGTGGTCTATATCAAAGTAACTGCTACACATGTCAAATAATGCCAATAAAACACTGTATAAACGCTGTGTTAATCATCACTATAATTAATGTCGTTTTGTCGGAATGACATAAAACATATATGTAAGTACTATCGTACAAAGTTCGCTGTAAAGTTGCAATGATTTATAAACGTGATACAGTATCACTATGGACCACATCATAATTATGTGTGCATTTTTATATCGCTATTCATAATTTAAGCATTATGCAGATTTAAGTAGCTTTTAAGAGATGATTTTCCAATATAAATACAAAGTACATGAAATATATATAAAACAACAACAAAAAACAACACTTATCGTAATGTATGTTATTATTATGTTATTCATAAGTGAAACATTAAAGAACTTTTTAATTACGCAATCATTGTTCTTTAAGTGATAATATACAAAAATAAAACACATTTTATCACACTTAACACGTACAAACACATGCACGTACAAAACACACGTACATACTTTTGCAAAATTAAATAACAATATTCGAATTATAACAAAAAAAAAGTCGGTCGTGTTTGCTTATATCAAAAACATAACAAGTAAAGTAGATGTATGCATACAACCTTATACCAAATTTTGTTAATGAACTAATGAATGAAAGATGAAATACATTAGGACTTAGAGGCCTTTATGGTACCTTGGTACATATACAGATTATTTGAACGATGTTCACAAAACATACACTACTTTTTTGTAGACTTATCCTGAATCACGTTATCCTTTTGTTATTTTATCAAACGTAAAAATTAGAGCGTTTTTATTCTCTTTTTTATTTAAAAATTATGCATTTCCAAACTTGCAATATTTGAATTTCAGTTATTAAATGCGGCCTTATGTTTCTTTTTTAGTTTTGGTAGAAAGCTAAATTAGTTCGTAGAATACAATGTAACATTTAACAGGAGCCTTTGAGAAAAATATAACAGACGTTTTAGGTTTAGTAAGATTTGAGGAAGCCGAACCATTTCAATATATTGTCGTTGCCTTTGCTTTAAATACTCAATAAAACAGGTTTACCATATTTGCATATTATTCTGCACACCATTGTCTCTTTAAGATTAACTCGGTACTTATTTATTAAAAGGAATTCATTTTCTGCCGCAATAAGACTCAAACCGAACAACTTCGTAATTTTGTTACATTTCCCTAGCTTTCATTGCAATAATCAACGAATAAATTGTATTCAAATGCCGCAATACAGTCGACTCCACTTATAACGAACTAGTTTATAACGAATTATTGTTACTACCGAACTAAATCTGAAATACCCTGCGCCGATTCCTTCTTTATTCTATATTAAAACACATCGCTTAATACGTACACGCTTAAAAATTTAAAAAGAATTTTCGGCTATAGCGAACCCCTTTTTCAAGTCCAAAGGCGAAAAACACGTAAATACGTAAACACGTCAGTACATATATACCTCTATTCACACGACTTTATAGAAGCATAGCAATGCTTATGTATGTGGAATTATATAAGATTTTTTTTGCATTTTTTTTGCATTTATACACAAATTTAAGCTTCTCCAATAAGACATATAAAGATCCTGTGATGAGAGCAGTATTTCGATCAACTATCTCGTTAGAAGACATGAAATGTGGTTTATTTTAATTGAGATAATCCTTATCCATTGTGTTTATAAGTATACATACCATATATATATATATATATAATACTTTTTTATTCTTTTTTTAATAATAATCTACGGGAAGACCTAATTTGTTTTTCGTATACCCTTTTCGTTTAGATTATCTTGCTGGGGACACTTTGAAGGACAGTATGAAAAAAAAAAACAAAGATAATAAATTGTATATAAATGAAAGTAAAATTATCTTCAAAAACAATCTGTTAATAAATATGATATAATGCAATTATAAACCATTGTTTTCTTCTAACGTTTTTTATATTATCTCATCAATTTCAAAAGTCATACTATAAATGTAATGGGAAAATCTTATGTTTCCTTTTTTAATGTTTAATGATTTATTGTATGATTTGTATTTGTATTGTTATGCATAAGTGTGTGATATTGTATGATTTATCAATAAATGTGGTGCCTCATTTGTGGACCTGAAGCTGAAATTTTTTTTTTTTCAATCAAGTGATTACACAGGTAAGTTATATTTTCAGGGGATAAAGATTTTGGTAAAATGCTCTAACAAAATACTGCAATACAATTGCTTCACTAGTATTAAATATCTTCGTAACATTACATTGTAAAAAAAATGGCAACGGAATAAAACGAAAGACATTTTCTTTGGATACTAAAATTGGAGTGCTAAATGAAAATGATGATGGAAAATTATCAAAAACGCAAACTGCCGAATAAATATGGATTAAAGAAAATCACACTGAGCACTATTTAAAAAAAAAACCCGTGCTGCTGTAAAGTCGGCATATTAGTCGGATTTTCTGTCTTCGGCTCGCAAGAAAATGCGATTTTGTAGACATGAAGTAGTGGAAGATGCTTCATTGAAATGGTTTCGCAGAGTTCGCAGTTCCAAATTCCACTTAGTGGAGAAACTTTGATGCTGAAAATCCAACGAACTTGCCAAAAATGCTGGGATGCCATGATTTTACTGCATTATCTAGGTTCATAGAACGATTTAAGAAAAGACACGATATAATCATCAAATCTGTTTGTGGTGAATCTGTGACGGTAGATCTTAGTATAAAGGAGAACGTGAAGACCGAGACACTCCCCCAGTGAACAATGAGCCAAAAGATATTTTTAACGCTGACAAACGGGACTTTTCTACAATTTAAATTACCTAATTTGCCATGCTCAAAAAAATAACAATTCAAATTAATAATCGTGATTTCACTTAACAATATAATACGGAACAATTTTTAAAGGCATTAACTGTTTTCAAATTGAGCTCTATTAGTATTATGAAATGACAAAGAAAAGCCAAAAACAAACTAACAAGGTTTTACAAATTTATACCATTGTTGACACTCAGTTTTAGTAATTGACTCTCACAAGGCGCAAAACACTCCAATTTTGACATGCAGGTGCAGTTTCCTCGGCATCCAGAACACATCGCTGACAGCAAAAATGTTTTTATCGTCTTTGACGGTGGATCTTTTTTAGGGAGATTGTTGGCTGAAATTTTCGAGACAAATAAATAATATAAATTAGACTCATGGTATTTAAAACTATTGACCAGAATCGGATGCAAAAGATGATAACGAAAGAAATAACTGATCAAATTTAAAATACAAGAGCGATCTGTAATGATATATGTCGCCTAGTAGCCAATTCAGTAATTGTATAGAGAGTTTAGCATGTAGCAAGAGAGAGAGAGAGAAAAAACAATCCAAAACCCACTTTTTTAATTCAAGGACCATATCTTAGCCAAATATCATTCAACCGTTACACTAAAATTCCATAAGTGTATGAGAGAAGTAGTTCGGACAAAACTTTAAAAAAATGTTTAAAAGAGCCATAACTCTGACGAAAATCATTGAACCGGAAGATGCTGACGATATACACAATTGTTACATTGATCTTAGGGATCATTGATTCTCACACTTCTTAGTGTGACAATTGGATTACCTCTTAAGCCGGTGCTAGGGGGGCATGAGGGATGTTGCACTTTTTCATTATCCCTCATGCACACACTCAATCAAACTGAGTTTGCAATTTTCATGTAATTTTGTCGTGATTAATGCTTGATTTTCTCCAGATTTTTAAATTGATAATGAGCATTCCTGTAAAGTTTAGATGAAATTGCACGAGCAATTTTTGAAAAATAGTCCGAACAAGTTTTGTGACAGACAGACAGATGGACAGACAGACGATGGAAAAGTGATTTATATAAATCTATATAAGTCTTGGCTGTTTTGCAGTATGTATCAGCTATTATGTAGCAGGTAAAATAATACTGACAGACCAAAATACCTTATCTATTTAAAGGACATAACTCGGCAAAACTAATATAACCGGAAAACCCATGTTATATTCGCAAGAAATTATTCCTGTTACGGTTCATCCAAATTGCATTAGTTGTATAAGAGAAGTAGTCCGGACAAACATTAAAAATAAAATCATTAAAGGGCCATAACTCTAATAAAATCATTGAACTTGTAAGTCCTAAAGATGTGCACAACTAAACTGGGTACTGAAATTCCTGTAAAGTTTGAATGAAAATGCACCAGTAGTTTTTGAGAAGTTTTGTGATGAAATGACAGACTAACAGACAGACGACGGAGAAGTGATCCCCATATGTCGCCACTACTCTGTAGCAGGCGGCACAAAAACATGAGTACTAAGTGACTATAAAAACATTGTATCGTCTTTTACTTTGTTTGATCTTTTATTTTATTTCCTTAACTCATCTTTTAAACTATTTACATTAGGAAACTTTGAGTAAATATTAGAGCTATAGAAAAAGTTAAACATTTCTATAAAAAATGAAATACTAATGAGAAACCTTTTGCATTGAGACGTCATTTAAAAAAACAAAAACATTGTTGTACCAGTACAACTTAGCGCTTTTATTCACTAGGGTGTAAGTATCATATGACCTTTCAAATATTATATTTATTGCCTTTGGTAATACCCGCTTATTATACCTTGATGATGAACCTGATGCTGTCTTGCAGATCTTTTGCCTTTAGCCTGAAAAAGTTTGAATAAGCACAATCTTACAATTTTTGAAAACATAATTTATGTTGTGTATACGATACTGCGTGTCGTCATACAAATCCAAGAAAGGGATCCGATCAGTTTGGTGAGTGATGAGTCGGTACCAGGGGGCATGGGACTCATATAAGTTACAGGTGGCATGAAAGATCTTACGTCGGTGACAGGGGGCATGAAATATCTTGGGTCGGCAACAGAGAGTATGAGAGATCTTAGGTCGGTGACAGGGGGCATGAGAAATCTTGGGTCGGCGACAGGGAGCATACGGGATCTAATGTCGGTGGCAGGGTGCATGAGAGATCTTAGGTCGGTGACAGAGAGCATGAGAGATCTTAGGTCGGTGACAGGGGGCATGAGAGATCTTAGGTCGGTGACATGGGGCATGAGAGATCTTGGGTCGGCGACAGGGAGCATACGGGATCTAATGTCGGTGACAGGGAGCATGAGAGATCTTAGGTCGGTGACAGAGAGCATGCGAGATCTTAGGTCGGTGACAGGGAGCATGAGAGATCTTAGGTCGGTGACAGGGTGCATGAGAGATCTTAGGTCGACGACAGGGAGCATGAGAGATCTTAGGTCGGTGACAGAGGGAGAGAGATCTTAGGTCGGTGACAGGGAGCATGAGAGATCTTAGGTCGGCGACAGAGAACATGAGAGATCTTAGGTCGGTGACAGACAGCATGAGAGATAATAGGTCGGTGATAGGGAGCATGGGAGATCTTAGGTCGGTGACAGGGAGCATGAGAGATCTTAGGTCTGTGGAAGGGGGCATGATAAAGCTTGCACTTTCCACCATCTCTCATGAACAGAATGAAAGAAACCAATTTTAAGATTTCAACTACATTTTATTTTCTCTTATTTCAAGAATTCTTATACATGACCACCTTTCTATTTAAGTCATATAAAATTCAAACATTCAAATATATGTAATTCATAATTCATATCAAAATATTTGCAAGCCTCGGTAAATTAAAAAAACCCACTTCTTAATTAAATAATTGAATCCAAAAACAAGAAGCCAAAACCTTCTTTATTCATAAAAAAATTAAATTCAGTTTCTTTACTATTAGGATGCTTCTTAATTTGTTGATTAATCAGGTACTATGATGTGAATGCATCAAACTTGAATTTGACCTGTTCAATGTTAAATGTTAATTCTGCTTAAGCCGGTGCTTGAGGGCGTCGAAGTTAGCTTAAAATCACCACTACTGTTCATAAACAGGCTTAATCAAACTGAGCTTGCAACATTTTCAATTGTGCCGTGACAGGCCCTCTTTTTCTATATTTTAATGTACAAGTACTACAGTTTGTGAAGTGACTCAATCAAACCAAATTAGTTTCTTTATTATTAGGACATTTCTAAACTTTTGATTTATCATTTTGTCAGTTGTAAAGGTTGGGTATTATGTCATGAAGAATGATTTTACTATTATTACTATTCATGAACAGGCCTAAGGAAACCCAATCAGAAACATTTTTATTTTGCTCTGATGGGTTACCTTGAAGTGTTCAAGTTAATATGTTTAATTATTCATGAAAGAGAAAACATTGAAAGAAATTTGAACTTAAATTTTTGATTTTCATAACAGTAGTAAATAAAACACAAGTTTTAAATTGAATTCTTTGCCGTTAATTGCAAGAAAACATTAAGCACTCAAAAAAAGAAGAAAGAAAAAGAAGAGAAATAATAAGTTTTGCAAAAAGAAAAGAAAGAATAAAAAGGAAAGAAAAAAGAAGAGACATAATGAAATTTGCACTATCGCATGTTTAAATATAACTTTTTTGTACGGATCATTCATCATTTTCATTTTCTAAGAACTAAAGCAGTTGCGTTTTTTTGATATTTTAAACTCTCTTAAACATTGTGGTTAAAAGATAATTATATTATGAAATAATCTAGATGTTCAGAAAAAATGTAATATCGTTTACTGTATACTTTGACATTGGGATAAGTATTGATTTGAAGGTAATTAAAGATGATTTAATTACTACTGTGACGTCATTCGTACTGTACAGGCAGGTGTCCAATATTAATGTGTACGTCCAATATGTATCGTAACACATAAATATAAGACAGTGTGTCGTGTAGTATGACCAAAGGACTTTGTTGAAAAATTATCAAAATAAAAAAAAAAAAAGATTTAGTAAAATGTAACCTGTTATATCAGAAGGTTAAAGTAGTAATTTAAGTAAGATATAAGCCTAAAACTGACAAATTAGTAAAATATTGAATTCCCTTCGGCGCTATGCGCCTCATATTTTACATATGGCTTATATCTACTACACACACATATATATATATAGCATAAATGGCTTAGATGCATATGTTGTGCTCTATAGATATAAGATATATTTGGCGGGAAATATTTGCAATGGATTGAGACAATATAAGCTAATATAGTATACACCGAATTTTAAATCACATACTGGCCAATGATTGATAAGGCTAAAGACATAAGTTGTTTCAGTAAAGAAACGTCGTATACTTTAAAGTTTAAACCATCTTCATGTTTAAGATTGAAACTTTTATTTATCAAACAACAACTGAACTTGTTTATCAAAGAAATATGTACTAGTATAAGTTTATACTTACGTTGACAGCCATCTGTACAGCTGATCTACATTCCACTTTAGACATGTCTTGGCATTCCAACAACAACAAAAATAATAATAATAAAATCATGAAACAAAAATACTGACGCGGCGTCGACATTTTGAAAATCTTATTGTATATCCTTTAGATCTCTTCTATTTATAGTGTGTTTACAATTTGAGAGATTGATTGATGTTAACAGTTGGTTATTCAGCAGGCCAATTAAATCTAAATTTTGTTTATCTAATGTAAATGTTTTTTTATATATACACCGGATTTCTTTAAATAAATATGAATAAGCTACTGTAATAAATTGATTAATATTAAAGATAGATTAAAATTCTATAAAAGGTTTCGAAGACTTAACCTCATGGTCGCATTTGTCAATCATCATATCACAATGTCATACCAGACAATAATTAAAACGTTTACTTCTTCTACAGACCAATATTGCACATATATTTGTAAATTCATATAAAAACATATATTTCTGGGATATATCTGTATCAATGGATTGAAAAAATGAAAACTAAACCATTGGCTGTTTTGAAACATTGGTAATTATTTCAAAATCCCATAAGAAGAGCTTTGAAAATTTACTTCTTCCCTCTTTTTGTTCTTACACAATTGACCCAACTCTTTTCCGATCAAGTACTGTTCTATAAATTGATTTTCGATCGTTACACATTTTTATTTTATTTATATATATAAAAAGCGTATTCACTCATATTTTTAATCACTCTTATTACCTAGAAAATACACATTTTAAAATGATTTTTGTTCTAGTTTGAAGGTTTAAGCAAATGTTAAGCAGCTTTTATTCAATATAACGTTAGCCAAACCAATTTTGTGACATTTCTTTTCATATTCAAGTGAGTGCATTTATAAATGTATAATGTAAAATGAAATTGACATCGTCTATATACATTAATTGTAATCATAAAATTGAGTAGCGTTTTCAATTTGCACTTGATTTTTCTCTCAATAAAATTGTGCAATTTAGGGAGGGTCGCAAACAAATTGTAAATATCATTGATTAATGACTTGACAACAAAATATTTACCTTTTTAAAAAAATCGTTAACGATTGATGATTGGGCGTGCACCACCTAGAAGCTAATAGGCAACTCATTTCAAATACTAGGAAACTAGGGAGAATTTGATTTATGTTCTTAAATACTTTTAATATGCCGACATTACTTTAATTCTGTTTGGATTACTTGTCTCGTAGGGTTAATACAAATCTCAAAGGCAACAGTTAAGATACATTGAATGACGCAATAATACATTTAATCTTACAATAACTAAATGAGAAAAGCACGTAATGGACATGTACAAAGTAAATTACGGCAAATTTGAAACTGTTGCGGATTTGGTTCTCAGAAATTATTTTACAATTGCCAAAAAAAGTTCATGCCGATCTGTCTTATCCCTTACCTCGCTGTATATCCTGGACCTGTCCTGCTTCCTATTTTAACAGTGTGGAAATCGAGATGAAAAATTAAGAATAAGTCAGCCTAGGCAGGCTGGTTTGATTCTAAACTAGTAACACATTCTTATCTCTTTCTAAAGTGATATACACTGAATATACAAAAATACGAGTGTGGGTAAATATGCAATGCAATAAAGTCAATAAATTGAACCAAAAAAGCAAATAATTTACATTTTCTAATTTAACCATTCGAATAAATCGTTTCCTACAGAAAGACAGAGTTTAAATGCGTCAAAATTATCCTCCTTAGGTCTTCCTTCAAAAAGTGAAAAATGGCCGGCCCAAAGTGCATTATTGCTCCAGCTCCATGGGTAATAAAAAAATAACTTACTTAACTTTTTGACATTTGTCAATCGCTTGGCAATACATGCTCGAGGCTTTGGTCGCCTAAATCTTATTGTTTCACTTGCGAACTGGCGTAAAATTGTGACGCCAGCATTCATCACAAGTCACATTTTTTTTAAAACAGCGACTGACATATTATTGAGGAAACATTTTCAGAAATTTTCGAGCGCATTTAACTGGTTCTTTGTTAGATGTTATCAAGGCAGTTGTTCTTCTTACATTCAAGTGCACTTATTCGTCAAGTATAAAAATAAAACTGCCAACATATTTAACAAATATCATATTGATTAGTCACAGATATTTCTTTCACAATTTTTTACACATCTCTTAATACCCTGTGTACCTGCCTCTTGCTGCAACTTAGTCCCACAATGGGCTCTCATGGATATGATGTATTTCTGGATAACCCTCTTTGTGGTTTGGTTCAAATCCAATTGACAATTTGTACGTGGGACTTGTTCAAGGACAAAGTCAAAGCCCGTCGGAAACCCTTCAATTTGAAAGATTTGGCAATGCTAGCCAATGAGGATTGGAACAAAATCCCAAAGAGGGTTATCCAGAAATACATCATATCCATGAGAGCCCATTGCAGGACTATAGTTGCATCAAGAGGCAGGTATACACGGTAACAATCGCTATTGTTGCCTGCTTTTAAAATTTGCCCTTTGATGCCTTGTCTGTGATATGCAGGCTTCATAACCTCAGATACCCTTTCAAAATTCCATTTTTTTAAGTTATGCTCATTGTTTTCTCTTTTTTTCGGCACACACATTTTTTAAATTGGTGACCATACGCCACATTTGAAATGGCACTTATGTGTGACATAAAAAGTTCAATGATTATCGCCGTATGAACACATCTGCTGATTAATGTTCATGTTTAAATGTTCAATTGTATCTAAGCCGGTGCAATGGGATGCGGACGGTATGCTGCACTTCCCAGTACCGTCAATGAACAGGCTCAATCAAACCGCGCATACAACATTTTCAATAAAGTCGCGTCGGGCGTCCTTAAGAGACTCCGTTTTTTTCTATATTATAGATTTTTTATAACTATAGAACATTTTCATTTTCAACTAGACTTAAACAGTTGCATAAGGGTCACTGTTGCCATAACTATTACAAATATCGTAACAAACATGTATCGGTGATTTTCCTGGTTTTGCTCGAGCTTTTAAATAAGCCCGTATTTCAGTTATTTTAAGCCATATTTTACATGAAGTTACTCGTATAAAGCATTTCAAATGTGAATAAAATTCTTAATCTGTTGACTAAGCACATGATTTTGATATCATTTAAAAGCCAAAGTATAGTTTATACAAACAGGAATCCCAAGCTAAATTAGAAAATATACTTCATTATTGCATTTACATATTGACCCATACAGAATATGAGAATGATATTTTGCTTCAGATAAATTCTGTTAGCATTTGTTAGGAGTTCCAAATGTCACTACTTCAATTATCAAATTAATTCCATTATTCATTCTACAAACGATGCCGACTCTAAAGGTTACACTTATGTACACAAAGTTCATTACAAATTACACCAGATTATGACGAAGAAAAATTATATGTATAACGATTTTTCGTTGGTATGTCTCGTTCACAACACATGAAGAGATTCTTGCAAAGATGCATGGGAATGATGTTAAAAATAAGGATATTATTAAGGGATAAGTGCGTTATAAGTATAATCTTTCTAGAAGTTAACAAAATATTGAATCACTACGCTATTTGAAACAAGTGGCAAACATCGAGGATTTCGCAAAGTTTATTTATTTGTTGATTCTCATATTTTTTTCAAGCTACAGAAATACTTGTGAATTAAGGACAACCAAAGGAGAGACCATACATAGTCTTTATAGGCAAGTGGTCTTTATTGGTAGTGTATTTAATTGTATTTTTATCAATGAAGATTTGTCAAAGGGTGATCTTCACTAATGGGTGTTATTTATTCAGAGGTGTCTTTCACACAGGTTTAACTGTACATTTCAAGAACTCCAACGATTAATATATATAAAGTATTCAAGTGTATAAAGTCTTATATGTGTTTGTCTGTGGATTGAAAAATAATTGTTTATATTGTGAATACATAGAATGAAAGAAATTTTGTCAGTACATTTTATTGAAAGCAAATGTCATGCGAAAGATCATTGCATAACCTACTAAAAAGCATTTATTATGTTACTTTATAGTACTCTTGTATATCAGATAACACAGAAATTCTATGTTACAAATCTTTAAAGAAATAACTATTAGGTTATGAAAACAACTTAATTTTAATGTTTTTTTTTAAATTTCTAATAAACTATTATATCAGGTATAGCTTTATACACTTTAGGCTCTATTAGCAATTCTTATTTTTACCGAAAGCTCGATAGTATATATTACTTTATTTACAGTTTCAAGTGCAATGGCAGCCTGACATGCAACAAAGTTGTGAAGAGGATGCGACAATAGATGTTATGATTAGATGATGAAATTAACCGGAAATAGCAACACATTACATGAAAACTTGTTCAATTCTTCAGAGAATTTATGCTGCAATGGTGAACGACATTTTACTTCAAACCACATCTCTTCAAATTGTGTTTTTCATATTTTACATTATAGTATTTCTGGTTGGAATTAGCGGTAACTTGCTAGTCGTTTTTGTTGTCCTTCGAAAGAAGGCAATGCACAGTATAACAAACATTTATATAGCTAATCTAGCTACATCTGATATTATGATGGGCTTATTTGCTATTCCTTTTACGCCTTTGCAATTTTTTATGAAATCATGGATTTTTGGAGAGTTTTTATGTGCTTTTTTGCCGATGACGATGAGTATATTAGTATACGTGTCAACTCTTTCATGTACAGTGATAGCCGTGCTCAGGTATTTTGCCATTGTTTACCCTCTTAAACCAAAAATAGGACGATGTACGTGTTTCGTTATCGTAGTTTTCATTTGGTTTTTGTCCATGGCCATTTCATGGCCTTTGGATATTTCAGTAAAAACAATAATTGTGAATGATACTGTGCTGTGTGTAGAAAAATGGCCGAAATGGCAGTCTCGACAATTCTTTACTTTTACAAACATCATACTTCAGTATTTGATACCATGCAGTATAATTATATACTGTTATGTGAAAATTTCACTGGCATTGGACAGACGTTCAAAGTCTCATGTTGTAAGGAATAGCACAGATTCTGAACGCGAACAAAGAGAAATACAAAGGAAACGCCGGACTAACAAAATGATGATTTATGTTGTTTCGATATTTGTCGTCTGCTGGATGCCATTGAATCTATTCCATATCATATCAGATTTCCATCAGACATTTAAATATTCCCCGTACAACAGCCTGATTTTCTTCATAGCCCACCTAGTCGCTATGAGTTCTACAATTTATAATCCATTTATATACGCTTTCATGAGCGAAAAATTCAGGACTGAATTCAAAGCTTTACTAAGTTGCTGCCTGTTTTGTAAAAACTAAAAACCCGATGTAAATATATTGTAGGATGGACTTTCAATTTAGTGCCACGTAATTTAGGATTTATAATCAAAAGTTTATTATTTCATGTAAGTAAACTGTGTCATACATTTCATATAGTTGTTTATTTTTTCCATATCCATACAAAATGACACTTCTTTAGCGAAAGAACGGAATGATTACAGATTTATTTGTAAGAATTTCTTTTTTATCTCTTTTACTTTCTGCTCTTATGTCATGGTGGTTGATGCCTGGAAACTTCTAGATAAAGACACAAAAGATTCATAAAAATGGATCAATCAAATACATTCCAGTCGACTGTAATCTTTATAATTTCTAATTCAGTATCTGAAAAAAAAACACAAAAAAAAACATTAACCAAATAAAAACAAAAAAAAAACAAAAAAAAAAAAAAAACGAAAAAGTTTTTAAAATATTTCCGACAATTTCTGGTGCTCTGACCTTTAATTTATGTTTCATATTCTATTGATTGGTTTATGCTAAATGATGCAAGTAAACTTAGACAGATTCCAGATAATCGCAAACCTAAAAGATACTAAATTGCGTATTTCGCACGTGACGTCAAGTTAAAGACATTGTCCGAACGTGTCGGATATCGGCCTGCAATATTTTACCTTTCTGGAAAGGATGTTTCGTTCTGTTGGCAAAAATTATGACTATAGAAGGGATTATGAGTATTTGACGTGTGTTTAATAATTTGATAATTTTAAAACACACCTCATCTCTCATAATCTAAATATGTAGTCACCGTGTCCTTATCATTTTCACAAATGTCCATAATATGTGAACACAAGCCCGAGTCAACACAAAAATGGCAACTACATGTTTTGATTAGCAAGGTCCATAAAGGTCTATTAGAATAACATTTAAAGGTAACACTTCTTTAATTATTTTTGTTGTTCAGTCTAGATTTCAGAAATGAGAGTAATCTTAATATATTCTCGATATAATATTCTAACAAAAAAGTACTAGTTACGAAATTTCCATAAAGAGACCGGTTTAATATGTTTAGATAATTGTTTTGATTTCAATAAATCATGCCAACTGTCCAGCGCAGTGTTATTTTAGTGCGCTCTGGTCCCTGCCAAGACTAAGCGTTCCCTAGTAATTAATGATCCCCATATTTAGAAAATCAAATTTTACTTTTATTTTCTTAGAGAGCGCTTCCTGCATTTTGGTTGGTCAAAACTGTCCCTAGAAATAATAACTATATGCAAATGCAAGATTTGCCGCCTTTCCAAGGCGCACTTGAAAATAAAATTTTGGAATGTGAAGTACGAATTTTGTGTATTTTTATTTATTAAGTTTCGGGCACAGATACGATTGTTTAGTAATTTTATTTTTGTTTTTTATTTGCCTTCGTTCGGGAAAATTATTGTTTAAATAATTTTTGTTCTAAAATAATTACATTTATTATTGTTAAGGTAAATACGTTAACAATTTTATGTTAAGATAGATAAAACTGTATCCTAGTTAAGATTTTGATGTAAAGGTAAATAATCTGCAATTCTATCAATTAATAAATTTTTAAACATTACTAGCAGCAGGATTCCCACAGTACATGTATTTGTTAAGGATGAATTATATATGTGACTTGTTTATTTGTTAGTATGTATGTTGTTTTATTTGTTATTAATGAAAGTATAAATGTTTAACTTTCAGATAACCGCTATATACGCTATCTACGCTATATACGTTGTGCGATACACTATATACTCCTTAGACTATGTGTTGTTTCTGGAATAAAAGTGGAAATGCATCATTTTGTTGCCCAAACTTAGTGAAGCTGCCCATTACGGCCGTATCGGAGTGTCTTTGTAATTGGTAACAGTTGAAGTGAACACCCGTATTAACGTGTTCTGTCTCAGCCACCCACGTAATCTATCAGTAGTTGTTATACAGTTATTGAATATCCGTTGTGTTCCCCACAGAAGTGTTTAATTAGAGCATTAGAACAACGGTAGAATTGCATTTAATTAACAATGTTTTCTAGATATACCAATTGTTATAACCTCCAGACGTGACTGCTTTTCTCAAATTGGTTACAGACAAAGGCCATTTCAAACGCCAGGATTTTTATTTACGAATCAATACTGTCTTGGTTATTTTATTGAATACAACTGCATTAGGTGTATTTATTGTAATGTTCTTTCAATTTTCATGGACCAACTATTTTTGACCGTCTCTATTTTGCCTCCCGTTTCCTTTGCCTTAATAAAACTACTGTTTACTTAAAACTCAAATCTTTCAAATATCAGTTTCCAACATAATGAACCTTTCCAGTGTTTACAGTTTTATGCAAATTGGCTGACTCTCTGTCCAATTGCTACACTGGAATAATACATGGTCACTGGTTGGCCTGGTTTACACAAAAGAACATACGAGCTGAGCTATATTTTTCACTGCTAATTACCGGAAATGTCCATTTAGAGATCAACAAAGAAAAGAGAATTAAAAGACATTAACAGTCAGTTCGCATTATTAAACAAGTCTGAGTTGCAACCCTACATTTAGCATGATATTGTTAAGATTGTTCTAATATTGTTACTCTTTGATGAGTTAATGTGAGACATATACCTTATTTATGGACGTGCGCTTCATTTAGCTTCCTCAGATTTTTGTTCTCCTTTAAAGAAACAGATTAACAATATAATCATATAATTCATTTGATTAAATTGGATGATTTCCTTACAATTTGATGTTATCGTTTATAAATTAAAAAAAATATGTGGTAAAAAGGCCTGTTTATTCATGTGAATTTTGCCAAAAATATTTAGAAATATTTTGCTTTTTAAAGTAAAACAGTATATTTACGAAATTGATATTTTATTAGTGTTACAAACCTATGTGTTATTCGTTTCATTACCCTGAATTTTTCAACTCAATCTAATATCTAATCTGATATAATGATGGGCTTATTTGCTATTCCTTTTACGCCTTGGCAATTTTTTATGAAATCATGGATTTTTGGAGAGTTTTTATGTGCTTTACTGCCGATGATGATGTGTATATTAGTATACGTGTAGTCATAGCCGTGCTCAGATATTTTGCCACTGTTTACCCTCTAAAATCAAAAATGGGACGATGTACATGTTTCGTTATCGTAATTTTCATTTGGTGTTTGTCCAGCGCCATTTCATGGCCTTTGGGATATTTCAGTAAAACAATAATTGTGAATGATACTGTGCTGTGTGTAGAAAAATGGCCGAAAAGGCAGTCTCGACAATTCTTTACTTTTACAAACATCATACTTATTTGCACCCTGGTGTGATTTTCGCGTGTAAAATATCTTTTTGTTGAATAGTCAAAAAGTGAACATCCGTTTTCAACGGAAGTAATTGCAATGTAAATAATTATGTGTGAAACTGGAACATGCAGACGATTTAAGGATTATTTAACAATTTTAATCAGTGAAACGTTAAAGATATGGTGGACTACGCCCTCGTGATATAATTCTTCGCATCCGAACTCCAAACAGTGATGTTATTGAGCAATAAAATCACAGTTTGGGATATATTATTTTTTAATTATACTGACCCCTCATCGCATATAATGAACTGGTTATTCATTGTTAACTTATCGGACTATAAAATTTATATTTTGCTTCTGATTCATTTCTGATTAGCATTTGTTAGCATTTTCAAATGTTACTATATCAGTTATCAAATTAATTCCATTATTCATTTATGAATAGATGCCGATTTTAAAGGTTACACTTGTGTTAAAGTCACTGAATACATATCCCACTGCAAATAATTCTAAACTATGACGTAGATAAATAACATATATAACGATGTCTCATTGCTTCAGTTTATTGGTATGTCCCGTGAACAACATACGAAGAGATTCTTGCAAAGAAACATTAGATTTTTTTAAAAATAAGGATATATTATTAAAGGGATAAGTATGTTATAAGTATACTCTTTTGTTTTTTTAGACGAAAATGTGTTTAATGATAATGTTGTGTATGATGGTCAGCTTGGGTTCCAGATAACCCCTTAGTAAGCTTCATAAGCATATCAATTATGATTGGTTGTTATGATTATAAAATTCTGGGTGTGATCTGATTAGCCAATCACGTGATATTATTAGATACTATTTATAAATAGTCATACATGCCAAACATTTCGGCTATGAGTAAAGGTTGAACACGACTAAATTAAGGCTTATACGAAGCGTAAAGAAAATGTTGAAGAACTATGCGTTTAAAATCAAGTGGCAAAGATCGAGGACTTCTCAAATTTTATTCATTTGTTGATTCTCAGCGTTTTTCTTTGAAGCAACAGTCAAATTGTGTATTTGAATAAAGACCGTCAAAAGGAGAGACCTTACATAGCCTTTGCAGACAGGTGGTCTTTATTCGGAGTGTATTTAATTGTATTTTAAATAATGAAGGTTTGTCAAAACGTGGTCTTCATTTAAAGGGTGGTTTTATTCGCATATGTCTTTAATAATGGTTAAACTGTAAACTTCAAGAACCAACGATGAATATGATACATAGTATTCAAGTGTATAAAGCTATAAATTTGATGTCTGTTAAAAAATAGTTGTTTATTTTGTGAATAGCAACAATGAAAGAAACTTGTCAGTATATTTTATTGAAAGCAAATAGGTCATGTGTGAGATCTAAAATAGCAGCAGACTATTCTGTTTCGGGACATTTTATTCTGTTATATTACAGTACTATTGAATTGCACATTTTTGACTAATATTGAAACTCTACAATTCTTTCAAGAAACTAATGTTAGGTTATGAGAACTACTTAATTTTACAGTTTTTATTTTTTTTGTAAATATTCTATCAGATATAGTTTTGTACACTTTTAGATTTACTAGCATCTTTTTTAACCGTTATTCAAAAGCATATATTACTTTATTTATATTTTTCAAGTTTAATGGCAGTCTGACACGCAACAGATTGTGATGAAGATGCGACGATAATTAACTGATGAAATAACCCGCAAAGAACAACACATTACACGAAAACTTGTTCAATTCTTCAGAGGACTTAAATGAGTACATTAAATGCAGCAATGGTGTACGACGACATTTTACTTCAAACCACAGCTCTTCAAATTGTGTTCATCATATTATACATTATAGTATTTCTGGTTGGAATAAGCGGTAACTTGCTAGTCGTTTTTGTTGTCCTTCGAAAGAAGGCAATGCACAGTATAACAAACATATATATAGCTAATCTAGCTACATCTGATATTATGATGGGCTTATTTGCTATTCCTGTTACGTCTTTGCATTTTTTTGTGAAATCATGGATTTTTGGAGAGTTTTTATGTACTTTATTTCCGATGACGATGAGTATATTAGTATACGTGTCAACTCTTTCATGTACAGTGATAGCCGTGCTCAGGTATTTTGCCATTGTTTACCCTCTTAAACCAAAAATAGGACGATGTACGTGTTTCGTTATCGTAGTTTTCATTTGGTTTTTGTTCATGGCCATTTCATGGCCTTTGGGATATTTCAGTAAAACAATAATTGTGAATGATACTGTGCTGTGTGTAGAAAAATGGCCGAAATGGCAGGCTCGACAATTCTTTACTTTAACAAACATCATACTTCAGTATTTGATACCATGCAGTATAATTATATACTGTTATGTGAAAATTTCACTGGCATTGGACAGACGTTCAAAGTCTCATGTTGTAAGGAATAGCACAGATTCTGAACGCGAACAAAGAGAAATACAAAGGAAACGCCGGACTAACAAAATGATGATTTATGTTGTTACGATATTTGTCGTTTGCTGGATGCCATTGAATCTGTTCCATATCATATCAGATTTCCATCAGACATTTGCATATTCCCCGTACTATAGTCTGATTTTCTTCATAACCCACCTTGTCGCTATGAGTTCTACAATGTATAATCCATTTATATACGCTTTCATGAGCGAAAAATTCAAGACTGAATTCAAAGATTTACTGAGGTGTCACCTGTTTTGTAAAAACCCGATGTAAATATATTGTAGGATGGACTTTCAATTTAGTGCCTAATTATTTAGGATTTATAATCAAAAGTTTATTATTTCATGTAAGTAAACTGTGTCATTCATTTCATATTTGTTTTCTATTTTTCATATCCATACAAGATATCACTTCTTTAGCGAAAGAACGGAATGATTACACATGTACATATTTATTTGTAAGAATTTCTTTTTTATCTCTTTTATTTTCTGCTCTTATGTCATTATGGTTGATGCCTGGAAACTTCTAGATGAAGACACAAAATATTCATAAAAATGGATCAATCAAATACATTCGAGTCGACTGTAATCTTTATAAATTATATCAAACAGAGCAAGCAACCTTGCATATTGGCAGTATCTGACACACACACGCACACACAAAAAAGCAAAACATTAACAAACAAAAAAAATACAAAAAAAAAAAAAAAAAAAAAAAAAAAAAAAAAAAAAAAAAAAAAAAAAAAAAAACAAACAAGATGCAATATCATGATAAGTAACTTAAGCTTGTTCAAAATATTTCCTACAAGTCCGAGTGCTCTGACCTTTAATTTATGTTACATTTTTTATTGATTGGTTTAGGCTAAGGGATGCAATCAAACTTAGAAAGATTCCATGTAATGGGAAACCTAAAAAAACAAGACACGGAAAACCCGACAAAAGTTCAAAGTAGTTTCTGTTGGAAAAAAGAACAAGTCAATCGAAATTGAACATAACAAAATGAAATCCTACGTAAAAAAGAAGCAATATTGAAATCAATCTCATTTAGTATTTTGTATAAAAAAGGAAAACATGTTATCAAGGTCTTAAAGTGTATTATATGTTAGAATTATGGTAATTGCGTAAATAAACCACAATAAGTCACCAAAAGCTATAACAATTAGAAAACAACAACATGACCTTTACTTTTCCTTCCTTTTTACTCATCGTCTATATAGGACCTTACAAAAAGATACCTGATACCACACAATACTGCTGTTTATGGTATTTCAATATTACATATATTCATATTCTTGTAACATGTAAAACTGTGTTTATTGATATTCTTTGTGATAATGTCTATTTTACCTATATTTACACAATAATTTGTTCTGATACAAATGTGACAATTTGTATTTCTTGTCTTTTGTTATAAAAACGTTTTGAAATAAATCTGCAATCTCTTATAAGTTCACTTTTTCAGTGTTATCAAGAAAAAACAAAAAAATCAATTGAATCACATATTGGAAAAACGTCTGTCTGTGCTTCAGAGATTGTTAAAATGGTGTTGATATTCTGAATACATGCAAAGCTAACCACTTTTTTTTCCGTAAGTAATTTATGCAAGAAATCAACCACTGTTTTTTTCTAATAACAAGAAATGCTGAATATTTCTTTTGTGAAAAGGGTTTCAAATACCATTTTTCAACTTTTGTATTATTTTGTGTAGTGATAATAAAAAGTCATTTTAACACCTTATTTTCAGTCAATACTTCATGAATCAATATAGGCTGGAATATACATGTATATTATTAGTTATAAAGATTTTTTACAAGTTATATGGCCCTATGTAAACGGTTGTTTGTAAATATAACCCGAGCCGCTAGGCGAGGGTTATATTGCAAACAACCGTTTATATACTACAGTGTTCCGTTTGGACAGTCGTGACTTTTAGTCTGTACCCACGATGGTACGATTGTGAAAACGCGATGGCACGATGGTACGATGATGAAAATGCGATGGTACGATGGTGAAATTGCGATGGTGCGATAGTACGATGGTGAAAACGCGATGTTACATCGCGTTTTCACCATCGTACCATAGTGATTTCACTATCGTACCATCGCGTTTTCACCATCGTACCATCGCGCCATCGTGTTTTCATCATCGAGCCAACGCGTTTTCACCGTCGAGTCATCGCGTTTTCACTATCGTACCATCGCGTTTTCACCATCGTACCATCGCGCCATCGTGTTTTCATCATCGAGCCAACGCGTTTTCACCATCGAGTCATCGCGTTTTCACCATCGTACCATCGTGTTTTTACCTTCGTACCATCGCGCTATCACCATCGTACCATTGGGCTTTCACCATTGTACCATCGCGTTTTCACCATCGTACCATCGCGTTTTCACCATCGTACTATCGCGTTTTTCACCATCGCGCCACCGCGTTTTCACCATTGTGCCATCGTCTTCCGGTTGTCATGCGCAATGTTATATTTTTATCAACAATGTATGCCTTCTCATTACTGAACCCCGCACCCTTTATATTTGTGTATCTTTTAAATCTTTGAATATTTGGAACATGAAATTAACAAAAGGCAATCACTCAAAAATTAAAAAAAAAATGTTGTCATCCTTGTGCACTTTACATATAAAGTTTTTAAGTTATATATAAATATAAATATAAATAGATATATTAAATAAAGCAAGAGAAAAAATTCAGACATATATATAGCATATACAAATGTATATCCATATATTAAATAGTCGTTGATCTATATACAGTATCACGACATAAATGGAAAATTTAATGTAAAGATAACAGGTTTTATTATTTATAACTCAAATTAAATATCAAGTATTCTAAACTTGTTTTTATTATCTACCGTAACAGAATCTGACATCTTTCTGTATGTGTACTGATTATACTGACCGAAAGGCGATGGTACGATGGCGCGATGGCACGATGGTGAAAACGCAATGGTACGATGGTGAAAACGCGATGGCACGATGGTGAAAACGCGATGGTACGATGGTGAAAACGCGATGGTACGATGATGAAAACGCGATGGTACGATGGTGTAAGCGCAATGGCGCGATTGTGAAAACGCGATAGTACGATGGTGAAAGCACGATGGTGAAAACGCAACGGTACGATGGTGAAAGCGCGATGGTACGATGGTGTAAACGCGATGGTACGATGGTGAAAACGCAATGGCACGATTGTGAAAACGCGATGGTACGATGGTGAAAGCACGATGGTACGATGGTGAAAACGCGATGGTACGATGGTGAAAGTGCGATGTTACGATGGTGAAAGCGCGATGGTACGATGGTGAAAACGCGATGTAACATCACATTTTCACCATCGTACCATCGCGTTTTCACTATCGTACCATCGTTCATCGCGGTAACAGACTAAATTAAAAATCACGACTGTCCAAACGGAACACCGTAATATACGGCCATTTAACCTGTCAGAAATATTTATGACGAATTTATAATACAGCAAGCATCATTTTTAGAGGAATAAAGCGATATTTCTTTATTAATCGACAACAGCCGCGTATATAAAACTATATAAAAGTCACGATTATCCAATGAAAACCGACGTTACAAACGTGCAGTATTATAATATGCACGATCGTACATATCAAAATCATGGTCAACCACATTAGTATAAAAATCGAATTGATATCTTTTTCAAGATACACGAACTTCTATTAGTCAAGCAAAAGAAATTATCGTAAAAACTTCTGATATACTTGTCATCTGTTACCGTTCATGAACAGGCTCAATCAAACCAAGCCTGCAACATTTTCAATTTTGTCGTTTTGTACGCTCTTTAGGAATTCCTTATTTCTCTCTATTTTTGCTAGAAAACTTAAAACACGTACGGCTTTTTATCTTGATAGTAACAGATCGTAAATTAGCCAAAGCTTCTCTTTCAAGGAACAATTTTATTTCATTATTCACTGATGTTTACAAAAAATATATAACTATTAGGCGAAACTACTATTAATGAGTTGTACTTTACGAGTGTAGCAGGCCATTTTAATCTGAGCATTACTCTTTGCTTGGCATTGATAGGTATACAATGTAAATGCTGTCAAAAACTTGGAATTCGATTTAGAGAAAGAAACTTGTAATGATAAAAAAACGTACTTCACTTTAAAGTCGTGTTTAATCTTTCAGTTATTCACATACTAGTATACTAGGAATATATTTAAAGGGAAAAAGAACATTTCTGGACTTGAAATACTTCGACATTGCTAAATATTTGTATACAACTTCATTTGCTAACTTCTTCAAAGTTCTAGATTAATAATATGGCACTCCTGTTTTTAAATTACATTAAGTGATTTGTGACTGTGTCTTATATTTTGATATGATTTGTCATTAAGTCATTTCTTTTATTCTCTACTCGTATGGTAAACTGAGTTGAAAAATATGGATAAAAACTACTTCAATGCATCTATTTTAACTGAAAAACGTTTGATAGTTATATATTCTGAATACCACATTTGAATACAAAGTAAGGGACATTAAATCATGATATCGGAATGCTGTAATTTTCTGAACATCCCAGAATTACTCCAAACTGATAGTTAAATACATGTAAGAAAGTTCATAAATATGATCGGTGTTTTTCGTTTAACAGCGATCATTCGTCAACCCTTGCATGATTGCGTAAGCTCATTTCACTGACCATTGTGTGACATGTTTCGTCATTTGATAAGGTCATGTCAATGTTTTCTTCAATCAATTTCAGGGGAAACTTGAATACCATATTATTCGTGATGACGCGTCTTCCTCTAAGACCGTTTATCTCTGGATGGAAATCTTATTAGAATTTCATGATGACTTCCTGACAGTTCTGTATTTTAATATAAAACTCGTACGATATAAATATGCCGTAAAGAAAAGAGTAGAATAAAACATAGTCCATGTAGAACTTCAAAAAGGCAAAATTGAAAATGTTGCAGTCTCGGTTTGATTGAGCCTGTTCATAGACATATGACAGAGGCAAATTAACAAACACTATACATACAATTTAAACAACGACAGTCCCAAAAGCTCGCTTGATACTTTCATAGAATAAAAACAGGTAGCTTTTTCAAACATGTGCTTATTTAAATTCAATATACCTGCAAGATTTCATACAGTTCACAAAGAGTTGAAGCTGTGCATTACAAAGGGAGCGGTGCAAGTCACGACGTCATTCCTACATCAACGTGATTCATTGAAATTCTCACTTGACATTCAGGCTATGATTTCATTCAGTTCGACCTTGGTAAATAGCCTGGGCACCCAGCATACAGTTCTGTTCACATTCCAAGAATGACTGTCTGTTTTCCGTACTGATCTCTAATCTGTAAGATACTTACACTTTCCTTTCGTCCGAATCGCCTGCAAAACTCCTTTTCAAATTTGACAAACGCCCGTACCATTTGCAAATCGTGCATGCATATATACATCGTCCGTGTTGCTTTTTTATCATTTTGTTCGTTTCATTACACGCATTACTTGGTGGTTATATTCAGTTTCTGGTAAACGCCAAATTACGACAATTTTGTTTATTTGAAAGAAACTACGTATGTGTTCTCTAAAATGCAAATTGTGCGTAATTATTAGAACTTTTGCCCTTAAGCTAACATATGCTTTACTGCTTGACATTTCAATAAGTCTATATGAAACGAGAGTTACATAGGAAGTCACCCTGACCACTATTCTTCCTATTCAGGCAAATTTATCACTCATTGATACTAAATTGCGTATTTCGCACGGGACGCCAAGTTAAAGACATTGTCCGAACGTGTCGGATATTGGCCTGCAATATTTTACCTTTCTGGAAAGGATGATTCGTTTTGTTGTAAAAAATCACTATTATAGAAGGAGTTATGAGTATTTGACGTGTGTTTCATAATTTGATAATTTTAAAACACAGCTCAACTCTCATAATCTAAATATGTAGTCACCCTGTTCTTATCATTTTCTGACAATTTCACAAATGTCCATAATATGTGAACACAAGCCCGAGTCAACACAAAAATGGCAACTTCATGTTTTGATTAGCAAGATCCATGTAGGTCTATTAGAATAACATTTAAAGATATTTTTTGTTGTTCAGGCTAGATTTCAGAAATGAGAGTAATATTAATATATTCTCGATATAATATTCTAACAAAAAAGTACTAGTTTTTAAATTTCCATAAAAATCAGTACATCATTAGTTCAGTATGAATTAATCCATCAAATGGAGTTTCATAACATTTTCTTTTGCAGACTCGGTTTAGCCCACCGAAGGCATTGGTAAATTCACTCTACGGCAAACATAATTGGCATAGAATAAAACTATTGGCATCAACATAAGCGAAAGTCGACAATTAAACGTATCAAAAGTGTTTAATCATGGCATTAGGACAACGGCAGAATTGCATAGAATTAACTAATGTTTTCTAGATATACTAGTCGTTATAAGCTCCAGACGTGACTGTTATTCTCAAATTGGTTACAAACAAAGGTCATCTCTAACGCCAGGATTTCTTATTACGAATCAATACTGTTTTGGTTATTTTATTGAATACAACTGTATTAGGTGTATCTATTGTAATGTTCTTTCATTTTTCATGAACCAACTATTTTTGACCGTCTCTATTTTGCCTCCCGTTTCCTTGGCCACAATAAAACTACTGTTTACTTAAAACTCAAATTTTTCAAATATCAATTTCCAACATTATGGACCTTTTCAATGTTTACAGTTTTATGCAAATTGGCTGACTGACTGTCCAATTGCTACACTGGAATAATACATGGTCACTGGTTGACCTGATTTACACAACAGAACATACGATTTTTTTTGTAAAATTGTTTCTGAGTAGTTGACCTACAAAAAAAGCTGAACAATTATTTCACTGCTAATTACTGGGAATGTCCATTTAGAGATTAACAAAGAATAGAGAATTAAAATATATTAACCGTCAGTTCGCATTATTAAAATAATCGGAATTGCAAACCTACATTTACAATGATATTGTTTACATTGTCCTAATATTGTAACTCTTTGATGAGTTAATTTTGGACATGTACCTTATTTATCGACGTGCGCTTCATTTAGCTTCCTCAGATTTTAGTTCCCCTTTAAAGAAACAGATTAACAATATAATCAGATAATTCGCTTGATGATTTCCTAACAATTTGATGTTATCGTTTATAAATTAAAAAAAAAAATATGTGGTAAAAAGTCCTGTTTATTCATATGGATTTTTCCAAAATTATTTAGAAATATTTTGCTTTTTAATGTAAAACAGTATATTTACGAAATTGATATTTTATGAGTGTTACAAACCTATGTGTTATTCGTTTCATTACCCTGAACAGATACTGTAATGATCTGAATTTTTCAACTCTATCTAATATCTTATCTGATATTATGATGGGCTTACTTGCTATTCCTTTTACGCTTTGGCAATTTTTTATGAAATCATGGATTTTTGGAGAGTTTTTATGTGCTTTATTGCCGATGATGATGTGTATATAAATATAAGTGTCAACTCTTTCATGTACAGTCATAGCCGTGCTCAGATATTTTGCCATTGTTTACCCTCTTAAACCAAAAATGGGACGATGTACATGTTTCGTTATCGTAGTTTTCATTTGGTTTTTGTCCAGCACCATTTCATGGCCTCTGGGATATTTCAGTAGAACCAAAATTGTGAATGATACTGTGCTGTGTGTAGAAAAATGGCCGAAATGACAGTCTCGACAATTCTTTACTTTTACAAACATCATACTTCAGTATTTGATACCATGCAGTATAATTATATACTGTTACGTGAAAATTTCACTGACTGGCATTGGACAGACGTTCAAAGTCTCATGTTGTAAGGAATAGCACAGTTTCTGAACGCGAACAAAGAGAAATACGAAGGAAACGCCGGACGAACAAAATGATGATTTATGTTGTTTCGATATTTGTCGTCTGCTGGATGCCATTGAATCTTATGATACAAGAATTCCATCAGACATTTAAATATTCCCCGCACTATAGCCTGATTTTCTTCATAGCCCACCTAGTGGCTATGAGATCTACTATATATAATCCATTTATATACGCTTTGCTTTCATGAGCGAAAAATCAAGACTGAATTCAAAGCTTTACTGAGTTGCTGCCTGTTTTGTAAATAAAAATACGTTGGATTTATTGAAGGATGAACTTTTTATTTCAATAAGTGCCAGATAATTTAAGATTAAATCAAATTAGATTATTTCATGTCAGCAAAACTGTGTCATAAACTTAGTAATTATGGTTTTCTTTATTTTTTATATCCATTAATACATCCATATAGATGTTTCTTTAGCGAAAGAACAGAATGCTTACATTGGTGGCTGATTTGCGTCATTCTTGCTCTCACCCTGCAACCCCGCCAAGCGGAAAGTCGAGAATTAACAAGTTAGAAAGGCGGGCGCGGAACTAAAACATACTAATAATTGGGGCGCGGGACGAAGTTTAATAAATAAAACACCGCCCTTTGATAATAAAACTTCGCCCGCGCCCCCGATAAATAACGTGTTTTCGCCCAGAGACTCCGCCAAACGAAAAGTCAAGAATCAGCGGGGGCGCCGAGCGAATACACGCTATAAGCGGAGGCGGGATAGGCGGGGCTGTATATTATAGTATATACTGTTCTGATATAATAGGGACAATTTGTGCTGTTAAAAGCGTTTATAAATAGATATGCTATCTTTTTGTAGTCCACTTTTTTCATTGTTATGACAGGTCTGTCCTTTTAAGATTAAAAAAAAAACATCCTTTGACTTACATATTCAAAAACATATGTTTGTATTTCAGAGTCTGTTGAAACTGTCTGAATACATACAAAACACAACATTTTATTAACAAATCATTTATGAAAGAAATCAACAACTCTTTTTTAATTACAAAAAATAATTGCTAAATTTCACGTTCTAATTAAGCCGGTGCAACGAAGCGTGGACGGTAACTTGCACTCCCCATTACTGTCAATAAACAGTAATAGTCAAACCGAGCATGCAATGTTTTCAATATTGTCACTTTTGGCGTTCTTTAGGGATTCTGATTTTCTCTATTTAATGCGTGTATTTTTCTCAGAAGTTACGGGGCATTTTCAACCAGATTTACAAGCATTTTCAATGGACTTAAGTCCTTTTTTAAATCAAACATCCTACTCAAAACATTTGCATAAGACACTTCATTGTTGCCATAAATATTACAAATGTCATTTCAAACATGGAAATGAAATTTTCCTAGGTTTGCTAGAGCTTTTAAGTTAACACTTTTAACTGAGCGTGTTTTCCGGCCAAATTTACATGAAGTAAGGTCCTATTATTAAATTTGAAACTCTAAATCGTTTGACTACGCACATGGCTTTAATATAAATTGAGAGTAAATTATTAAAGCAGAAACAAGAATCATGAGCTGAATTAGAAAATATATTTATTAATGCATATTATATTGACCCACCATTGCATATAATGAACTGGTTAACTTATCGGACTATAATTTATATTTTGCTTCTGATTCATTTCTGATTAGCATTTGTTAGCATTTTCAAATGTTACTGTATCAGTTATCAAATTAATTCCATTATTCATTTATGAATAGATGCCGATTCTAAAGGTTACATTTATGTTAAAGTAACTGAACACATATCTCACTGCCAATAACTCTAAACTATGACGTAGATAAATAACATATATAACGATGTCTCATTGCTTCAGTTTGTTGGTATGTCCCGTGAACAACATACGAAGAGATTCTTGCAAAGAAACATTAGAATAATATTAAAAATAAGGATACATTATTAAGGGGATAAGTATGTTATAAGTTTACTCTTTTGTTTTTCTAGTCGAAAATGTGTTTAATGATAAGACAAACAATGTGTTGTGTATGATGGTCAGCTTGGAACTGACTATTTATACCAAATAACCCCTTAGTAAAGCTTCATAAGCATATCAATTATGATTGGTTGGTATGATTATAAAATTCTGGGTGTGATCGGATTAATCAGTCACGTGATATTATTAGATACTATTTATAAATAGTAATACATGCCAAACATTCCGGCTATGAGAAAAGGTTGAACACGACTAAATTAAGGCTTATACGAAGCGTAAAGAAAATGTTGAAGAACTATGCGTTTTAAATCAAGTGGCAAAGATCGAGGACTTCTCAAATTTTATTTATTTGTTGATTCTCAGCGTTTTTCTTTGAAGCAACAGTCAAATTGTGTATTTGAATAAAAACCATCAAAAGGAGAGACCTTACATAGCCCTTGCTGACAGGTGGTCTTTATTCGAAGTGTATTTAATTGTATTTTAAATAATGAAGGTATGTCAAAACGTGATCTTCATTTAAAGGGTGGTTTTATTCGCATATGTCTTTAATAAAGGTTTAACTGTAAACCTTAAGAACCAACGATGAATATGATACATAGCATTCAAGTGTATAAAGCTATAAATTTGTTGTCTGTTGAAAAATAGTTGTTTATTTTGTGAATAGCTAGAATGAAAGAAACTTGTCAGTATATTTTATTGAAAGCAAATAGGTCATGTAAGAGATCTAAAATAGCAGCAGACTATTCTGTTTCTGGATATTTTATTATGTTACAGTACTTTTGAATTGCATATTTTTGACAAATATTGAAACTCTATGATACAATTCTTTCAAGAAACTAATGTTAGGTTATGAGAACTACTTAATTTTACAGTTTTTATTTTTTTTGTAAATATTTGTATCAGATATAGCTTTGTACACTTTCAGATTTACTAGCATCTTTTTTAACCGTTATTCAAAAGCAAATATTACTTTATTTATATTTTTCAAGTTTAATGGCAGTCTGACACGCAACAGATTGTGATGAAGATGCGACGATAATTAATTGATGAAATAACCCGCAAAGAAAAACACATTACACGAAAACTTGTTCAATTCTTCAGAGGACTTAAATGAGTACATTAAATGCAGCAATGGTGTACGACGACATTTTACTTCAAACCACATCTCTTCAAATTGTGTTCATCATATTTTACATTATAGTATTTCTGCTTGGAATAAGCGGTAACTTGCTAGTCGTTTATGTTGTCCTTCGAAAGAAGGCAATGCAAAGTACAACAAACATTAATATAGCTAATTTAGCTACATCTGATATTATGATGGGCTTATTTGCTATTCCTTTTACGCCTTTGACATTTTTTATGGAATCATGGATTTTTGGAGAGTTTTTATGTGCTTTATTGCCGATGACGATGTGTATATTAGTATACGTGTCAACTCTTTCATGTACAGTCATAGCCGTGCTCAGATATTTTGCCATTGTTTACCCCCTTAAACCAAAAATAGGACGATGTACGTGTTTCGTTATCGTAGTTTTCATTTGGACTTTGTCCACTGCCATTTCATGGCCTCTGGGATATTTCAGAAAAACAATAATTGTGAATGATACTGTGATATGTCGAAAAACATGGCCGAATGAGCAGTCTCGGCAATCCTTTACTTTTACAAACATGATACTTCAGTATTTGATACCATGCAGTATAATTATATACTGTTACGTGCAAATTTCACTGGCATTGGACAGACGTTCAAAGTCTCGTGTTGTAAGGAATAGCACAGATTCTGAACGCGAACAAAGAGAAATACAAAGGAAACGCCGGACGAACAAAATGATGATTTATGTTGTTACGATATTTGTCGTCTGCTGGATGCCATTGAATCTGTTTCATATCATATCAGATTTCCATCAGACATACTCTCCGTACTATAGCCTGATTTTCTTCATAGCCCACCTAGTGGCTATGAGTTCTACAATATATAATCCATTTATATACGCTTTCATGAGCGAAAAATTCAAGACTGAATTCAAAGATTTACTGAGGTGTCAACAGTTTTGTGAATAAAAATCCGATGGATATATTGTAGGATGGACTTTTAATTCACTGCCACGTTTTCTAGGATTTAATCAAAAGTTAACTATTTTATTAAAGTAAACTGTGTCATACGTTTGATAAGATTGTTTTCTTTATTTTCATATCCGTACAAGAGAATGATTCTTTAGCGAAAGTACGGAATGCTTTCATTTAATCTGATTTATTTGTAACAATTTATTTTCGATCTCTATCATTTTTCTGCTCTTATGTTATCTTATTTCATCATTGCCTGGAAACTTCTAGATAAAGACACAAAAGATTCATGAAAATGGGTCAATCAAATACATTCGAGTCGACTGTAATCTTTATAAATTATATCAAACAGAGCCTGCAACCTTCATATTAACAGTATCTGAAACACACACACACACACACACACACACACACACACACACACACACACACACACACACACACACACACACACACACACACACACACACACACACACACACACACACACAAAAAAAAAACCCAGCAAAACATTAACAAAAAAAACAAAAACAAACAAACAAGATGCAATATCATGATAAGATACTAAAGCTTGTTCAAAATATTTCCTAGAAGTCCGAGTGCTCTGACCTTTAATTTATGTTACATTTTTTATTGATTGGTTTAGGCTAAGTAAGCAAACTTCTATGCAATGGCAAACCTAAAATAAACAAGACACGGAAAACCCGCTAAAAGTTCAAAGTAGTTTCTGTTGGAAAAAAGAAAACAAGTCAATCGAAATTGAACAAAAAAAATGAAATCCTACGTAAAAAAGAAGCAATATTGAAATCAATCTCATTGCGATTTTTTGTATAAAAAAGGAAAACTAGTTATCAAGGTCTAAAAGTGTGTTATATGTTAGAATAATGGTAATTGCGTAAATAAACTCCAATTTGTCACACAAATCTATTACAATTAAAAAACAAAAACATGACCTTAACTTTCCAAATTTTTATTCTTCCTTTCTTTTTACTCCTCGTCTATATCGGACCTTACAAAAGGTACCTGATACCAAACAATACTGCTATTTATGTTATTTCAATATTTCATGTATTCATATTCCTGTAAAATGTAGAACTGTGTTTATGAATATTCCTTGTGATAATGTCTATTTTACCTGTAGTTACACAATTATTTGTTCTGATACAAATGTGACAATTTGTACTTGTTGTCTTTTGTTATAAAAACGTTTTCAAATAAATCTGCAATCCTTTTCTCAAAGTTATCAAGAGATCTCTGCTTTCAAGATTAAAAAAAAAAACACAAAAAAACATTAATTGACTCACATATTGGAAAAACAGTTGTTTGTACTTCAGAGGCTGTTAAAACGGTGATGATATTCTGAATACATGCAAAGCAGAAAAAAATCTTGTAATGATAAAAAACGTACTTTACTTTGTTGTCGTGTTAAATCATTCAGTTATTTATATACTAGCATACAATGAATATACATTTGTATTTTAAAGGAAAAAGAACAAATCTGGACCTGAAATACTTCGACATTGTTAAATCTTTGTACACATATGTAAATACACAAGCAAGTCCTTCAAAGTTCTAGATTAATAACATGGCACTCCTGTTTTTAAATTACATTGAGTGATGTGTGACTGTGTCTTCTGTTTTGATGCGGTAAAATGATTAGAACTACTTTTTTTTTCATTTTCTGAACATCCCGGAATTTCTCCAAACTGATAGTTAAATACATGTAAGAAAAGTTCATAAAGATTCGGTGTTTTTTTCGTTTAACAGTGATTATTCGTTAACCTTTGCATGATTGCGTAAGCTCATTTCACTGACCATTGTGTGACACGTTTCGTCATTTGATAAGGTCATGACAATGTTTTTTTTTCAATCAATTTCAGGGGAAACTTTAATACCGTATTATGCGTGATGACGCGTCTTCCTCTAAGACCGTTTATCTCTTGATGGAAGTCTTATTAGGATTTCATGATGGCTTCCGGACAGTTCTGTATTTTGATATAAAACTTATACGATATAATATGCCGTAAAGAAAAGAGTAGAATAAAACATAGTCCATGTAGATCTCCAAAAAGGCAAAATTGAAAAAGTTGCTGGCTCGGTTTGATTGAGCCTGTTCATAGACTTATGACATAGACAAATCAACAGAGACTAGACATTTAGTAGAAACAACGGCAATCCCAAAAGCTTGCATGATACTTTAATATAATAAAAGAAGATAGCATAGCTTTTTTAAATATGTGAATATTCAAATTAAATTTACTTGCAAGATTTCATACATTTAATGATATGGGTTCACAAAAAGGTGAAGCTTTGTATTACAAAGGGAGCGATGCAAGTCACGACGTTATTCCGACATCAACATTTAAATTCTCACTTGACATTCATGCTATGATTTCATTCAGTTCGACCTTGGTAAATAGCCTGGGTACCCAGCGAACCGGATCCGTTCGCATTCTAAGAATGTCTGTCAGTTGTTTGTGTTCAGAATTTTTACTGATCTTTAATCTTTAAGATACTTACAATTTCCTTTCGTCCGAATCGCATGCAAAACTCCTTTTCAAATTTGACAAACGCCCGTACCATTTGCAAACCGTGCATAATATATTAACATCGTCCGTGTTGCTTTTTTACCATATTTTTTGTTGGTTTCATTACAGGCATTACTTGGTGGTTATATTACGTTTCTGGTAAACGTCAAATTACGTCAATTTTGTTTACTTTTTTCTTTTCAACGGGTTAAGGGAATCATGCTTACTGTAAAAACACGCTGATGAATTATGTCGAAATTTTAAAAAGAATGACATCAGAAAAACCTGTTAACGATTTGCGGAAATCATGTTAGATGATTGTATTTTATCGATAGTACATTTAAAACAAGAACAAGTTTTGACAAGTGACGAAAACCGTTAAAATTCTTAGGTGCGCAAGTTGGCCAACTTTAGACTTTTAAGGTCACTTTCATATGATTTTAGTTTATATTATTTCACACATTACATGTCCCTCTCCTTTCACGGCATTTATGTTCACTCCAGGTTTTGGTTTGGTCCCTTCTGGGTGCCCTACTTGTGTGTGTCGGGGGGCTGCGTCCTGTGAACGTTGCCTTTGCGGTGTTGATCTTTATTCTTGTTTTCAATTCGAGCATGTTCAATCCGAATCTTAAATTAAAGAGGCTTAATATGAACGAATATGTTTGTAAATATTGTATGACACGTGTAACGTAATTCGTATATCAATTTCCATTTCGTGGGGCTTATACCCAAAACACATGAATGGTTTAAGAAATGTCATTAAGAACACATTTCTGATTGTAAACTTTAATTAATAGCAGTGCAAAAATTAAAAACACGATACACTTCATGGCAAATGCTTATGATCTCGGATTTAAAAAAAAAATCTAACCAGTATTTATTAATAAAAGCCTGTAAATTTTCGACAAGAAAAGCGCAGCAGAAAGTGCAAAAAATATTGTCTAATTTTAGAAAATAGTTTACGTACTGTAATGTATTAATTAAGAAAGACATTTTATGTAACTCTTTCTAGAATTGGCTAGAAGATTATTGAAACAAACTTAATTAATGTGAGTAATTTTTTGAATTTTTATGCTCCCCGAAAAATTTCGGGGGAGCATATAGTCGTCGGGTTGTCCGTCCGTCCGTCCGTCCGTCAGTCCGTCCGTACGTACGTACGTCTCGAATTAGTGTCCGGCCCATAACTTTGTTATTTGAAGTCGGATTTTAAAACTATATCACAGATGTGATCACCATATTGAGACGACGTGTCGCGCGCAACAGTTTGGTCGCTACCTTGAAGGTCAAGGTCACAGCATAACCTTGCAGCAAAATCCTGTCCGGTCCATAACTCCATTATTTGAAGTAAGATTTAAAAATATTTCACAGAAATGATCACCATATTGAGACGACGTGTCACGCGCAACATTTTGGTCGCTACCTTGAAGGTCAAGGTCACAGCATGAACTTGCAGCAAAATCGTGTCCGGTCCATAGCTTCATTATTTGAAGTCGGATTTTAAAAATATTTCACAGAAATGATCACCATATTGAGACGATGTGTCGCGCGCAACATTTGGGTCGCTACCTTGAAGGTCAAGGTCACAGCATGACCATGCTGCAAAATCTTGTCCGGTCCATAGCTTCATTATTTGAAGTCGGATTTTAAAACTATTTCACAGAAATAATCACCATATTGAGACGATGTGTCGCGCGCAACATTTTGGTTGCTGCCTTGAAGGTCAAGGTCACAGCATGACCTTGCAGCAAGATCGTGTCCAGTCCATAACTTCATTATTTGAAGTCGGATTTTAAAAATATTTCAAAGAAATGATCCCCATATTGAGACATTGTGTCGCGCGCAACATTTGGGTCGCTACCTTGAAGGTCAAGGTCATGTCATGTTCTTGCAGCAAAATCATGTCCGGTGCATTACTTCGTTATTTGAAGTCGGATTTTACAACTATTTCAGAAAAATGATCACAATATTGAGACAATGTGTTGTGCACAATATTTGGGTTGTTTTTACACTTTGAACTTTGTCTGTGGCATAACTCTTGACACAACAAGAGGTATACCTTCCTGTGTCCTAAACCTAATCGGGGAGCATCACCTGGTTCAACCGGCTCTTGTTTTTATAAGATATAGCTTTTTACCCATTAAATCAAACCTGCATTAAGCACTGTTATCTTTGAACAGGTTCACTTAAACTGAGCCTTTAACAATTTCAATTTCCCCGCTTTTTTTGCGTTCTTTAAGGCTTCCATTTTTTGACCATTTTGACAAAATGGGTAGTATTTTATGAAATTAATTGTATGAACCGTCAAGTTTGATAACCAAACCACACAGTTTGTGTTCTATTCATTTAGGTTCTCATACATTTTATGAATGTTAAATCAGTTGGGATAGGATGTTTACTAAAAGCGTTGTAATTTGTCGTCCACGATCCATTTATAGAAATATTTTTCATTTCCAATGAATAATTCATACTGACCTTAAAGCAAACAAAATTGGATGAAATTAATAATAAATGTGTAATGTAACCTTTATCAAAAATATAGTTATGAGAATTTTTGACAGAAGTTTAAGCTAGTAATGATTATTTTATAGTTTTTATTGTAATAATATATATACTATCATCTAATAATAATCTTTCTAGAATATATATATTTCATTATTGTTTTATAAACGGTAACAGTATCCAATATTTTGATTCGATTAAAGAAAGTATTATAGTTATATTCTCACATTTAGCGTCTGGTCATTTTACAAACGTATACCACAATTAAAAACCTTAAATTCATGTTGCAGTGAATGAAAATCGGCATTGTTTCAAAATACCATAAAATGAATTATAATTACTAAATTGAGCGCTCAAAGTGATTTCATGGTATAGTTCAATATGAAATTTCGCGAAAGAATCTTACTTGGAGGTAAGAACCGCCAACAAAAGCCTCCCAAAACAAATCTGATATCTAACTGAATCTTAAGTACCATAAATAAGTTGAAAGAAAAAACAACAAAAAACATGTAGCAGTAACATAGTGACAAGAATGATATACTTAAATTAAATAACCTTCACTTCGATAGATATTCAAAGAGGAGGCACAGTAGGGGGAGTTGGTTTTTTACCTCAGAGACAACATAGACAAAAAATTAACGCAACAATGGATATCTATTGATAAATGATGTTGTTGATGATGATGATAATGATGGTGGTGATGATGATGATGATGATCACGATGACGACATAAAATGCAAGGAATGATGATGGTGATGTTGATGATGATAAAATGAATTAAACTACAGAACAACCAAAAGTATAATTTCACAACATCTTCAACGAATTATATTCCTTGATGAACTAAAAAAGAAAGTACAAGTATTGCTGTTTTATGTTTCAAGATTTGCATGTACTTAGCATTCTTTCTCTCAATAAAATTCCATGTTGTGACAGCTTTAACACTGATTTATATCATACGGAGAGATAATGAATATGTAAAAATAGCGTGTTATAAAGCTCTTGCACAATGACTGTCGTTATTCCATTTCCTTATGAATGTCGGTAAATAATTTGAGAGAATTGTCGTTCGACAGAAAGACTTAGGTTGATTTATAACCTGTCTAGAGCCTACTAGAAGATATGTATCGTGTTTTTTTGTATCAAGGAATGATAGCAGAATAGCGTTGTCCTAAATATTCAAAATTGATT